ATCCATGGTATTATCACTGTATTTTTTTTTTTAAACAGCGTGGTGGTTTGTTGTGTAATACACGGCTGTTCTAACAACAGCAATAAGAACCCCGGAGTTAGTTTTTATGCGATAAGTTACCGACTGTCAGAAAACGTGAAGAGAAGGAGACAGAGTGCCAGTGCAGGAGAGGCTAGCAAGGATAAATAGGCTAAACTTTCAGCCAACTCCCCACAGAAAAGTCTATTCCCATCATTTACCACAGGTTTCACACATAATCCGTGTGCAATGCGTGTGCGGTGCATATACGGTACAGAAGCAGGACGCGCTATAGTGCTTTATATGCTGCGTTTGCAGTGCGTTTGTTTACGGATACTGTATGAACGAGATAGTTATAAATATCCGGATAAGTTACGGCTGGCAATAAGGACGGATCTTTACTTAATGCTATTGGGTCTATTTGATGTTGGTCCACACCAATCAAGCTGATCTTTTCTTGTCTTGATACCGACGAGATGAAGCCATTAGGCTACTACTCCCCTCAACTCAAATCTGCGCGGCTAGGGGCAACAGGACAGATGTCATGTCAACAATATGGCCGCGGTTAGCTACTTACAGTGTTTGCGAATAAGGTCTGTAAGAATTATTTTCTCTGGCCTCTTGCCTTTAAGTGGCGGGCTCCATATAAAAAGCACAGGTTGCCCCGTTTCAACGGTGTAAGACTGACTGCCTGTGCAAACTCTAAAACGCCCCAGCATTACGAGTGCATTATCAGAACGCTCCCTGTCCGCTGATCGTGCTGAAACAGATCCTCTCACAGGTTGGTCAGAGGTCTAATCTTGTACATCTGGAGAGTACCTGCTTCTATATTAAGATAGTCCTCATCACCGCTGTTCCTGAGATTGCTTCATAGGCACAGCGTAACTCTTTGCAGTCCCTATGAGTGTGTACGTTCTTGGAGTGTGTGAACGCAGCTCTTTCCCTTCTAAAATGAGAGGAGTTTGCGCACTGAATGATCTGGATGATTGACTAATCATGGTTCATTCAGAGAGTGTGTTGAACTATCACAGGCTTCTCCCACTCAACCATACAGCATACCCCCTTATTAGCGAGAGGAACTGGGCTTTATTTTGATGTGATCCCACCTTTCACATGGGTTCTCCCAATCTATAATTACTCCTGACATTACTGCTTGGAATAATATTGATAAGTCCTGTGATAAATAAAGCACAAACTGAGCCGCTACTTTCTTGTCGTTCAGGCACGACGTTCAACCAGGTTCGGTAACTCAGCATTACTATGATACATAGGGGTGCGCCAAAATATCGATATGGCGATATCTCACGATATTTACTCCCGCGATCGATTCTCGATGCGCTCTTGCCAAGTATCGATCTTAAAAGCCGTTATAAAACGCTCTATTCATTATCCGAGTTGACTGGATTTGACTAGCTTTCATGAGGCACACACGCAAAGTCTCTCGCTCTCTCCCTCTCTGCCATGCTATGTATGTTATGCGCGCAGTAGGCTGTTCTGTCTCGCATGCGCGCTCTAGATTCCGGGAGATTTGAACTAATTTGCGGGCATCAGGGAGACGCTATCATTATGCGGGAGACTCCCGGAACTTCCGGGAGACTTGGGATGTCTGGCTTTGCAAAAATCCGCAAAACGGGAAACACGACCACATGTACAGACACCTCACGCGGCATCACCCGGAGCTCTGTGAGAAAGCCGTGGTTGGTGCTGGCTCGAAGCCGACACACCCCGGCGTAAACATTTTTATTACTACTGATTGCAGCAATGTTACACTAAAATAGTGTCTGTGACTGTTTTGTTGCAACTGATAAGACACAAGTTGTTTTTGTTATTGTGTTTCATCTCAAAAAATAAATGGAGATTAATTTTCCTAATTAAAAAAAAAATTGTATTTCTTAAAACATGATATATTGTGAGTTATTACTGATAATATGTCGATTATCGCAGTATCGCCATATCGTGATATTATCGGTATCGTGAACAATGTATCGCATATCGTATCGTATCGTGAAGTACCCAGCGATTCCCAGCCCTAATGATACAGCAATAGTGCCAGCTCTGCTGCCGCTTTTCTCTCCTCAACCCCTAGTGTTCAACTAGGTCCGGTAGCTCAGCGCTGCCACAGCGCGTGTTAAAGACTAGTACTGAAGCAAGAGCCCCTTGGTGCAGTATGTAATGTTGACAGCTAGTGGTGGAAATGGGTACTGCAGTCAAAAACGCAAAGACGCGTTACGCGCGCAAAAAATTCCTGCGGCGCGATAGACGCGAATACGCCTCGTTCGCGCGTCAAGTTCGCGCGAATTAAGCGTCTGGCGCGCTAAGCGCGAATGATTTAGTTAGTGCTATTTGTGCTTTCACGCTTTTGACGCGAATTCGCGTCTGCCGCCCGAGTTAAAAAATCTGAACTTCTGCATTTATTTGCGTCGCGTTAACCAATCAGGAGCCTAGCTGCTTGCTGCTGTCACGTGGTGAAGTATCTGGATGCTTCTGTAAATTATTTTGTAATATGACTAAATGCCTGGTGTGGTTCTAATGCACAACAAAGCAAATATTTCAATATATGATTTGATTTCAATATATGAGACATTCATTTTGTATTGAATGCTATTTATTCCATATCTAGATTATATGAAATATTATCATAATGTAAAGACAACCAACATACTATAGTGCATAAGTTCGTGTCTGGACAGTGTTGTGTGAGAGAGAAAAAATCACAGGACAGGTTAATCACTTTTGGAGGCTGGCTCCATTTATCATCAACACAAATTTTTTTTTGATATTAGGTGGGTGAGGGCGAGGGTGATCTTTGCTCCGATGCGGACAACAGGTCATCAAACTGGACGCGGGACAGGCGGAAGTACCGCTGAAAGCGGCCGTCATCCAGGCGCAGCTCCTGGAGCGAGCAAATGGTGAAACTCGCCAAACTGGGTTCGCCTCTGAAGGGTCTGGAGGACACAAATACGGCGACGATGATCCCTACGCCGCTGTTCTGCTCTCCAGAGCAAATACAGAGCAGTGACTCTCCCGATGAATGCTCGATCAAAATCAAAAAGATGGCCGCCAACCGGTTTCGAATCCGACGCGCGTAAATTCCGCTTCAAACTTTTGTTTTTACGCGCGTCAGTTTCACTCTTGACGCGGGAATTAACACAAAGTGGTCAAGCGTCAAACTAGACGCGGTAGACACGAATTTGACGCGCTTTTCGCGTCCGGTGTGAACGCACAGTTACACTGTTATTTGATCAGCTAATGTATACTGTATTTGCAATGTTTTTATTGCAGAGGCTTTTTAGGTCGGGTAGAATCTGTGATCTCTGACCCAGTTTGTTTGCTGGCTTCCATGGCTGGAATATGCTTTGTTTTCCATGAACTGCCAACCCGGGTGTCGAAATACAATTGGGTAAATTAACAGTGGGCGGGATCAAACAGACCAAAACAAAAACAGACATTCAACACAGAAATGCACATTTCACAGTAGAATAACTGGCTGTAGCATTGTTTTACGGAGAAACAAGTATTTGAACTTAGCATGTTTCTTAAATATCTGCAATCATATTATGGTATTTGTAATTTTGTATGCTTTAGTTCAGTCAAAAAACATACTCTACCTTTAAAACTTTATAGTTGTCATTTTATTAATGCCCTTGGTGTGAACGGGACTTTAGTCAAAGTGTGTTCAATAAAAACATAAAATGTATTTAAATAAATTATATATGTACTGTAATGCCAAATTAATTAATATATTATACCTTATTAAAAAAAAAGGGAAAAAAGAAACAAGTAAAATATTTGTATTACAATATTATATTTATAATTAGACCTTTTCCAAAACAGTTATGTAGCACATCAGTATCAACAAAGGACATTTATTTAAATATTCAAAGTGCTGTATGATATTTGCTTAAAGGAAAACAAGCAGTTTGGTATCATCTTAAAACAGAGATTGTTCAACTGGGGAACATTTAACAGACCCTCTCTTGGCAATCGGGCAGGGTTAGCAGTCCTGACCCTCAGTGAAGGGGTTACAAAAGAAGGAAATCATGCATCCACAACAGAACAGAAACCCCTGACTGTGTGTAAACAAATATTAACAGACTGTAACAACTGACCATCAAGAACACATGGAGTGAAAGAGCTCTCTGATTGACCTTGCTTGACTAACACCTCTTAACTTCCTGTAAACCCTTGGATTTAAACATATGCTTGCTGTTGCAAGTGCTATTTCAAGATTAGGTTGATTGGCTGATGCTATGACGAGTGATGATAAAAAATATCTGAAAGGAGTTTGGATTCACTGTGGATACAAGAAAATCTTTAGCTGTCAACGGAAAGTCAATTCTTTAACAGGAATATGGGCACATGATTAGATTTGCATCACCACCACCAGACGGCACCGTTTCCCAACAATAGCAGTGCAAGATGTGTGAATGCTATGGAGAAATGTCCAGCTCACATTTCACTCCAAATTAGAGAAATCCATCAGAATTGGGGGAAAATGAATTTTAAATATCATCTTTTCTTTATGCAGTATATATTTTTTTGTAAGTTTGGTCATTTTCTTGACAGATTTTACGAGATTCCCTCGTGTTAGTGCTTGTAAAAATATGACTGCACAGAAACACAGACATTGACCTTTCGGACATTGACCTATTCGAAATAACACTGTTACACAGGAAGAGTGCAAAGATATCAAAAGTAACATTACTGTCAGTAAAAAACAACATAAATGACATTAGTTGGATCTGTAAATGAAATTGGTGCCAAAGTTGATACTAAATTAAAAAATATACGCTATACCGCTCTTATATGACATATTACTGTGTTAAGTTACTTCTAATGCCAGAAAAAGAAATGAAATTATGATATCCTATGACACAGCTTTATCGTTGAAACCCTGCAGGAGGTTCAGCTGTTGGCCTGCTTTATAAAGGCCATCATGACAATAAGAGATGGATTTGGTAACCTCGACCCAAAATACAGAAAAGCAACTCTTTCTCCATCAACACTTTCCAACATGAGATGGTTCTTCCCTTTTGCTTCCCTTGCTCGTAAAGCACCTCAGAGGTGTTTGTTTGTTTAGCTATTCCATTACAATCTATTTAAACTCGTCTCATCCCTTTGAATCCAGAGACACTACGTCTTGAATTCTTCCGCTTATGTAGGGCTTAAGATGGGGATGTAATTTAAAGGCACTGGGACCCAGAAGACAACCAGTGCAGTGGCTTCCCACTTCTTCACGCTCAAACCACCGGAATTTGGCTTAACTCTCTCCAGATCCGAGGCATTTGAGAGGACATGCCTGGATGCAGCAGAGCCCGAGCAGAAGACCAGCCTAGACTCCAGCTCTCTCAGTTTTTGAAGGCCCCGTAGCGGCTGGCTTTGCTGATAAAATTCTTCAGCAGATCGTGGTCCATGTCGGCGAAGGCCTGCGTCTGAGTGATGGCCGTCAGGTGGTTAACGCAAAACTTGAAACAGAACTCTTCCAGATCCTGCACATGAAGAGCGGACGGACTGATTCAATGAGAAAGAGAACCACCACCAAAGACCTACAGAATAATATATGAAACCGCAAATATATGTACATGTTTAGGGCTCTGTTCCAAAACCTAGTGAGCTGTCTACCTAGACAATATTTGTAGACATCATAGGTGAGCTAACTTTAGGTATAGTTATTATGGGGGAGGGGGACGATACAGCTTAGTGTCGTGGTATTTTACATGGGAATATTGTATTGATCTTTTCAGGGCCTGAATTTCCGCCTGGAATAGCTGGGTTTCAGTCACGTGATGACGCGCGAAATTCAGATGGAGGGCAGGGAGTGAAGAGCGCAATGGACGAGATGGAGGAAAGTCCGTACTGTACTACTTTAGACGCTATTACAAAAGAAAGAAAGAAACAAAAAATCAAACATATGTTGGACGTGATCCTTACGTTATGAAGAGGAGCGATTTTCAACTGAATTGAAAGATTTTCCTGCCATCGAGGCGGTAGATATCAGCAACTACATTGTCGTACTGACATACTTTGACTTTACAAAGTTCGTAAACGTTACACAAACATAGCCACTTAGGTTGTATTAACTCACCTTTGACGAAATGATCACTGCACACAAGGGCATTTTCCCATTCGGCTCCTCCTTTGTTATAGTGCTTTCTAAATACAGCAAATCACTTCCTGCCCTCCATTTGCATTTCGTGCCATGCCAACGCAGTGGCGTGACGTCATATGAAAACAAGCTATTGGAAGTATTGCGCATAACTTTAACGTAAGCTCCGAACATATAGGGACAGAATTACGTGAGAGCGTAATTACAAAAAAGTGCAGATGGGAGTGGAAAGTTCAGCGCGTGATCAACTGAAAAAGACGCAGCCGGATAATATCCATCTCTCTACCAAGAGCAGCGCAAATTAGCATCTGGTTCAAGACATGCTTTTTTGGGCGATAAATAATACCAGTAAATTGACGAGCGCAAACCTTAGTTAATCACTGAATCACCGATTCATTTAAAATCTCTCCTCAAATAAATTTCACGTCTGTCTTTAGTAAATCCTGACAGTAGTTTTGATGGGGATGGGATGAGGGTGTGTAAATGATGAGAGAATACATTTTTGGGACATTTTTTCCCTTAAAGGGGCTATATGTACGATTTTTCATGTATTAATCGCTTTTTTTTATTGACAATGTTTGACCTGCTTTTAACGAATCTTAAAAAAACAAAACCTTCCCTGACTTCCTAGGTTCTCTTTGCAAGCCTGGAGACAGATTTTTATGTGAAGGACTCGGGACGTTTTTGCCAGGCAAATCAAAAGGATGTGACGTCTACATGCTCCCACGAGCCTCTGCTCCGTTCAGTGACACTTCTAATGCTTATACAATGTTCAGGATAACAATGAAAGAGCCATTCTGTACTGTAATGTCAATGTGTCATGCAAAGAAAAGAGATTCATTCAAACTATAGTCTCACAGACAGATCTAGTCTATAGCCTCAAATATACTTAAACTATCATAACAGTGTAATTTTAATGACCTCATATGTCGACATGATGCCGGTGAATCGCAGAGCTGCTGCAAACATATCATTATTGCTACGATCAGATGCTTTCTTAACTGCTGTTTTCTAATTGCTCCCATTTTTCCCGTGTTTATTTTGTTATTGAGAGGAAAGTGTGCAGCATATTTACATATTCATCTAAATCTTGATCGCAGCGTGAACGCCACCTGGATGTTCGTTAACAGTATATGAGGTATAAAGGTGTTTCCAACTTCTTTTTACTTCTAAGCAAAGAATGAAAAAGAACTTCGCCGGGAGTATATAGGGAACTTCTCTCTACGTTTTGTGAGCACGAGCAATAAGTTGCCGGCTGCAGTTCATTTAATGGCCACCGGTGTTGCTAATAACAAGCGTTTCTGAATTCTGCATATAGCAACTTTAAGAAGAAAATTACATTAATGGCGTCATCTGATTTTATGAAGATTCTTGCCGAAGATTCACTAAATGAAAAACACCCCATAGTCGTTTTGTGCTCTCTGAAAATTGAAGTTTAAAAATAAGAAGAAAATAGTTTGAATTTTAGGATGTTTTATGAACCCAGCCTTTGAACTTATGTGTGGCAAAATAAGGGTCAAACATTGATTTGATACGGGACGCATCATTTAACCGTTAAATATGGGACAATCCCATATTTTATGGGACGGGTGGCAACCCTAGAGTATTGTATTGTTAGCTTAGCAATATGCTAACATCAAACTCTGCTGAATCAACTGTGAATGTTAGTTGAGTCTTTTTTGCGCTTCGTATTAGCCATTTCCAACAATATTTGCGTTTACGTATTTATTTCTCATTAGTGTTTTAAGTCATCAGCTTTAAGTTTTTTTACAATCGCTAGGACACATTTTCAAAGCTCTTCACACAGTTAGCACAACAGCATGGATCATTTACCATTGTTTGGGCACGAAATGCTTTGAATGACTTCATCTTTCTAATTACATTACGTCTAAGTAAGAAAATAAACTATATAACTACAGGCAACTTTGCACATGCTTGCATACTCTTTTCAAAACTGTTAAACTTGAGTTCAAAACCTAACATAATACAAAGCTGAAAGACAGCAGTTTGCTACATTTTTACAGTAATACCATATTGCAATATATTTTTTTTATTTTTTAGATTCGTAATACATCAATAACTGCAATATAAACACGGACCATGTAACTTAAACTGCAGTTCATAAACAGTTGAGAGTGTGATTCTTGTTTTATAAAGTTTGTTTGTTAGTGTTTTTAGGTTGTTGTTTAATGAGTGACATTGTGTTTATTGGGTGAAAAACTTTGCTAGTGTCACAGAAGAATGGGTTGATTTGAGACATGAATTATGTGTTATATGGTAGTGCTTTTTGAATGTAAAATGAACTGCTGTGCCAAGATGAAAGTTGGTTATGAGAAACTGTGAAGAGTTTGGAAAAATTGCCTGGGAAACTGAGAAAACTGGGTCCTAGTGATTGTAAAAACCAAACAAGCAGTAATATGCTAACATCAAACTCTGCTGAATCAATTATTGTTAGTCAAATCCTTTCTGCACTTCATGTGAGCCATTCAACCAATATCTGTGTTCTTTGTATTTGTAATTATTAGTGTACCACGTCGTTAGCGTAGCAAATATGCAAGTTGAGTCTACTGTGTACTTCACATGAGCTATCTTTGAGTATTGAGTTGCTAGCTTAGCATCATCCTAATGTTAATCACTGACGTTTGGAACAGGACCTGTATGTAAGTGGATGGATATATGGCTGAATGATCGAGTCTCACCCGTGCTTCATACTTGACAGCGGCCGAGAGCAGTGTTACAGCGTTGTCCTCTGCGATGCCTCTCTTGATGGTCTCCTGGCACAGTCTTTTCAGACGACTCTCACGGTAGTATGTGGCCAAATCCAGCAGACCTTTACAATGCAAACCATCACAGGATCATAAAGACCAAACAACATCATCACTTAGACATTTCAGCACACGAGTCTTTCAGCGTGACATGCTGGACTCCATCTAAAACCATTTTAAACAGTATATATCTGTGCTCAATAGGCTTTATGCACAGCTTCACTACTTCCTGAACTTCAGCCAGCCCTTTGTTTCCTGTCTGTCATTATTGGACAAACTGATTAATCCAGGTGTGCCTGATTATTGTTACTGAGGCCAGGAAAACCTGGATTAATCAGTTTGTCCAATAATGACAGACAGGAAACAAAGGGCTGGCTGAAGTTCAGGAAGTAGTGAAGCTGTGGCATAAAGCCAATTGAGTTCAGTGTGTGATATGGCCGTCAGCATGAAGGGGTGTTTTACCAATAGCGTCCTCAGGTGGGAGGTTGATGGTATCAGTATACAGGTATTCCAGGAATGCGCGATACACCAGATAAGAGAACTGATGAATCTCTATGGTCTCTTCATCGGTCTCGTTCAGCAGTGCTCGGAAATGCTCACACCTATCAACACAACCACAAAATGCCTTTTTTTAATTAATGCGATTTATTTTATGGCTCAACCTTAAGTTCATCAAGCGACGAGAATACTTTTTGTGCGCAAAAAAAAACAAAAATAACGACTTTATTCAACTATTCATTTCCTTCTCTGTGGGCCTCGAGATAGTTCACGTAGTGTAACAGCGCAACGCTTCTGTGTTGTACGTCACACGCATCACACACATGACCAGCGTCGGCCAATAGTGAGTCTACGTGTGACGTACAACACAGAAGCGCTGCGCTGTTACACTACGTGACTATCTCGAGGCCCACAGAGAAGGAAATGAATAGTTGAATAAAGTCGTTATTTTTGTTTGTTTTTTTGCACACAAAAAGTATTCTTGTCGCTTGATAAACTTAAAGATTGAGCCACTGTAGTCACTCGGACTAATTTAACGATGTCTTTAACTTTTCTGGGCCGGCAAGTTTCGATCCCTTTTGAAGCCTATGGAGGAGTGATCCAGCTCTCAGATTTAATCAAAAATATCTTAATTTGTGTCCCGAAGATGAACGAAAGTCTTACGGGGTTGGAACAACATGAGGGAGAGTAATTACTGACAGAATTTACATTTTGGGGTGAACTATCCCTTTAATAAATGTAAAGAGTTGGATACAAATTACTGAGTTAGCATAATTAGTTAATTAACTAATAAAATAAAGTTTAAATTAAGATGCTAACCATATATTTCTATATAGCATTGCTTATTCCACCACAAGGACTGTTTTTAAGGTGACAATCCGTTATCCATGTGAAGATTGTAGGCTGTATCTTGAAGATGTTTGTATTGTATTGTATCTTCTGTTATAAAAACGAATAGCCTATTTCGTTAATAAAAAAACAAAAAATAAGAGCACAATGTTGTCAAAAATAAACAACTTAGGCTATGTTCTGTTAGATGTGTTTTGACTACTCTTTGTTTAATTATATCTCTAGGTAATGAAGATATAGCCTATTAACAAAAACAAAAATTATATATTAATATATTATATGAAAGAAAAAAAAACTTTTAGGCCTATATAAAATATATTTTAAAAAAGGGCCTCGCTGATTAATTTTGCCCGGGGCCCCCAGTCAGTGTAGGTTCGCCTCTGATAGGGGAAGCTTCTGTTTGCTTCAGCTTTTTGAACGCAGATGTATGATAAAGGCGTGATAGGCTATAGGCTGTACATGTTATGTGGATAAAGGTATATTTTCTACATGACTACAAATGTCCTTATAAGGCCAAGAAAATATGTCGTTTTAACGACATAGCATCTCGTTATTACGACATAATTGAGTGGAAAAATAATATGTATGTGGCAGCAATGCGTTACCGTAGTATTATACGCTTTAATCCTATAAATAAAATTGTTTAAAAATTAGACACACACTCCTCTAGTATTATTGACATTGTTCAGTGAAGCTGAACTACACTACATGTCTTAGTTTGCCCTGTATTATTATGTCTAATTTGCACTGTATTGCACTTGCATCCCCGACTCTCGTTTGTTTCGACAACTGGAAAGAAAAACAAGCAAACTTTAACTACAGAACTGCTCTCATAAGATACAAACAGGTTACAAATATTAAAACAGTGACTGTAGAGACAAAGAGTGATGCTTATGCAACAGTACACAGTCAGGAGTGTGTCTGTACACGTTCATGTCAACACTTCAGCTGCGAGTGTTTAATGATGGGAATGATACCGGAGGGGAAAACCCAAATCTTCTGTTGACTAATCACACAACAGGAAAGCATGATTTTTACCAAAAAGGCAAAAGGCTTTAGAGATTATTTGATTGCAGGTTTCAGGTTACCTGATTTTAAGAAGGGCTTTGTGCACGTGAATACACTTGCCATCAACCAGGAACTTTAGGTCAGAGATTTCTGGGCTGTCAAACTCTCGCTTTAGCGACTGGGCAACAGTCAGGTAGTCATCTCCATCTAATGAGCAGGAAACAGTCAGAAAATACAACATAAAATAATACATCTCAAAGTGAAGCGTCCTGTTAGAAGATGGAGAGTTCTAGTTGGGTTTAACAAATACACACACACACACACACATGTGTGTGTATTTGTTAAATGTATATATACAATATACACACATACTGCCAATAATAGGTATCGGCCGATTAAAGCTATCATTTTCGCTATCGCCGATTGTTTAAAAACAGCTGATGATCAGGGCCGATTATATCCTGTCAATCAAAAGGGTGTGGAAAAACATGTCAGACTGCAAATCATACTGTGTGTGAAGAAAATCTCTTGTTGAATTTAGAGCAAGTTAACGCGACAATGACGCTTTAACAGTTACAAAATAGCAACATTAATGCAAGCCTCATTTGACCCTATGCATCACCCGTAGTTCAAGCCCGGGTTGCCAGATCTGTGGTTTTTCCCTACAGCAAACATTATTTGTAGCGCCTCTCATCCGATAATCGCCAAGAGCTCTGTGCTCTGTTACTTCGGATAAGAAACAAAGTCTCGGTTTTCAAATTCTGTATGATTTATCACGAAATTCATGCAATGAATGGCGTTGAAGAAGCAAGGCATGATTTGCCATGAAGAAGTGTTTATGAAAACTACCTTATGTTGTGTACAAACATTTCCGCTTTTATTTGAGAGAAAATACTATATCTGGAAATAAATAGCAGTTTAATAACATAGCTCTGTTTTTAATTTTAACCTCTAATATTATAGTGTACCAAATGAGAGGGTTCCCTGTATAGTTTGCAGCATTATTTGGGAGAGATTTTTTTACCTTAAGAAAAATCAAACTATCGGCAAATATCATTCTGAATAATCGGCTATCGGTGTCGGCGGAGAAATTTAGTATCGGTGCATTTGTAATATATAATATATATATATTAAGACATTTCTCTTTAAAAATTCTCGTTTTAGACTTCTAATTCGTGACTGGTGTTTTTGTTTTGCTCTATTTTGGGTCTAGTGTTACTCTTTCACCGTAAATCGATGCGTACGGAAGCTAGTTATTTTAGTCAATAAAGTTTTAAATATGGATATTTTTCTTACATGAACGCATCGCTTCGCTTCAGAAGGCCTTTATTAACCCCCTAGGGACGAGTGGAGCACTTTTATCATGGATAGATGCACTTTTATCGACTTCAAAACTGAAACGGCCATTCACTGCCATTATAAAGCGTGGAAGAGCCAGGATATTTTTAATATAACTCCGATTGAATTAGTCTGAAAGAAGAAAGTCATATACACCTAGGATGGCTTGAGGGTGAGTAAATCATGGGCTAATTTTCTTTTTTGGATGAACTATCCCTTTAAGTGTAAATAGCAACAAAAAGTATTTTCTTTACACCAAGTGAAAACACTTTAGCTTTAGCATCCAGTGAGAAAGCTGATTTTGGAACAACGCTCTTACCCACGGACAGGAGATGCCAGGTGACCGCCGGTGTGGCGAAGCAGGCGAAGACGTCATCAGTGCTGGTGAAGTGTGTGAGGTGAGGGTAAGCCACGGCCTGACCCCGACACTGACCCCACATCAGCACCTGACCGCTCTGTGTTTTGGCCGCTGACGTGTGACTGGTGTGACACGCAGCGACCTCCACCATTCTGCAGGAGACACAGATGCTGCTGTTACGCCATTAAAAGCTTCTTCATACGTTTGATACATAAGATTGATTGGTAAACGGTAAAATAATTAGGAAATATCAGCGAAAAATCCAACACATACAGTAATTAATTCTTTATGTTATCGACACATTATTCAAAAACAGAATCTTGAGAACTGGAAAGAAACTACAGAACGAAAAAAGGTTTATTTACAGAGGAACTATTTTGGATTATTCGAAACATATTCTCTCACACATATTTATTTTGATCAAAAATACAGTAAAACAGTTGTGAAATATAATTACAATTTAAAATACCCGTTTTAAATTTGAATATACACTACCGTTCAAAAGTTTGGGGTCAGTGAGAATTTTATTTTTATTTTTTGGAGGAAAGAAATCAATACTTTTATTTATCAAGGAATAATTAATTTGATCGAAAGTGACAGTAAAGACATTTATAATGTTACAAAAGTCTTTTGAACTTCCTATTCATCAAAGAATCCTAAAAAAAAAAAACTGTACAACTGACAGACCAACAACTGTTTCAACATTGATAATAATAATAAATGTTTCTTGAGCATCAAATCCTCATATTATACTGATTTGTGAAGGATCATTTGACACTGAAGACACTGACACTGGTGATGCTGAAAATTCAGCTTTGATCACAGGAATAAATTACACTTTACTATATATTCACACAGAAAACAGCTGATTTACACTGGAATAATATTTAATACTATAACTGATTTTTGTTGTATTTTTAATCAAATAAGCGCAGCCATGGTTAGCAGAAGAGAATTCTTTTAAAAGTATTTAAAATCGTACCGACCCCAAACTTTTGAACGGTAGTGTATACCGGTAGTCAAATGTAATTTATTCCTGTGATGTAAAGCTGTATTTTCAGCATCATTACTCCAGTCTTCAGTGTCACATGATCCTTCACAAATCATTCTAATATGATGATCTGATGCTCAAGAAACATTTGTGATTATTATCAATGTTGTAAACCGTTGTGCTGCTTAATATTTTTGTGGAAACCGTGAAACAATTTCCAGTATGTTTATATGACACATATATTCCGTTTATTTTTAAGTTGAATATGTACATTAATCTATATGAAGTACTGCATTATGGTCCGTAGACAGTTGGTTTTAGGGCTAGATTGTTATACACAGTCGCATAGTGACAATATGATTCAAATAAATCATCTCTGATTATTTTAAAAGCGTTCATGTTGATATTTTCAAATGACAAGTACAGTAAAATTGTAGGCCATGTGCTGTGCCTTCTTGTCTCAAGAATCCAAAAGTGCAGAAATAACCTGATCTTTAGTGTTTTAAGCTGAGATCAAGTATAAATTGTTAACCAAACAAACAGACTTCTTTCTAATCCCAACGGTCTGAGAAGGGCTCTCTCAGTTTCCACGTGTGATAACAGTTCCTGTTGAAGTGCTTCCTTAACCGTTCCTCGCTTTACATACTTCACTGACCTACTTTTCTCACTCAATTTGATTGTGTCTTTGTGAAATGTTAAGGAAATATATGACGTGGGTATGAATAGCAATACGTCTAAACTGTCAGCCAGATGCATTCAACTGCACCAGGTGAGAAGATGACAGGTAAATAATTTCCAGCATATCAACGGTCTCTGTGAAATCAGTCAGGTGGGACGCCGCGATGTGGATCTCACCTCTCCTTGTCCATGTTGATGAGGGTGGGCACAGCCTGGTTGCTCTTGTTGCCCGTACCCAGCTGCCCGTAGGAGTTCGCACCCCAAGAGTAAACAAATCCCTCGTCTGTCAGAGCCAATGTGTGTGCGTATCCACATGCCACCTGTGGAGAGAAGACGGATCAGGGCTCGAAGCACCATACATGTGCGATGACAGCTGAATGTTTACAATAACACAGGGTAATTGAGATTAATGCGAGTAGAATTTGGCTATTCATGTGGTTGAACCGGGCGGTCACATACTGTTTCAAAGCAACTGATGACTGACATGATAAATAGTTTGAAAAAATTTATCATTTCATTTTTTTTTTTGTCTAATATGTTTTATAATTCTATTTCCTTTTGTTCGTCTGTGGATCATTTAAAGGTCGTGCACAGACAATAATCTGAGTGATTTCCTGATATCAAGACCTACTCAAATAAATTATGGATTACAAAATAACCGACAGAACAACAATAAAACAGAACATTACGAAATATGAAAGAATGTTTAAATCTGTCACTATTATAAAACAATAATAAAACCGATTTTTTTTTTACCATTGTTGTTAGTGTTAACTAAAACAGTTAATAGAAATAAAGCTGAAATAAAATAATATATTTTTTTAGAACTATATATAATTTTATTTAATTAACTTAATTTTTAGAACCTAAAAAACTTAATTGAAAATTAGCAATGTCGCCTTGGCATCTAACTGAAATCAAATCAGTTTAAGTTGTACTTACGAACTCAAATTAATCAAACTAAAACTCAGGGATGCACGATGATATCGGGACAACATCGGTATCGGCCGATAAAAGCTTAAAATGACCATCATCGGCATCGGCCGATATGAATATTTCTGCCGATGAGCCTTGCCGATAGGGTGGCGTGTTTCCTATGCGCACGTGACGACCGTGAACGAAGCATGAGCGCCAGCAACTTAAACTTCCAACTGGGGTGTGCGTCTCACGCGGTTTTTGATCGTGGACGATTAAAATGTCTCCACGATCTGCTTTTAAAGAAAAATCATAGTATCGTGCATTCTATCAGTTTAATTCTGGCGCCTTCATCTCAACATACTGTACAACGCGACGTACATTCACATCACATCACATGTAAACGCAGAGGTAGAGTTACACCCACGGGACACCGCAATTCAAAAAAGTTCATTATTTGCATGTGCGTCAAAGTCTTGCTAGTTAAACATATCATTCACGTGCTGATGCGCTGTTCTAACATGCACTTTTCTAAAACTAAAAGCCTGTCACAGCGCCTGCATACTGGACTAATCTTTCGAGTCTTATTGCGCTGATACTGTCAAATACACACACGGTTTACATAAACAAAGTTGGTTATGTCTAAAGTGAAAGCGAACAGAGAAAATCTGCTTGTCAAATGCGTGTATATTAGACGCGTCGCGTGCAGTTCTTAAAGAGACAGTAATAATATGCTGCCGCTTGTCCTTAAAGAGATACTGCACCCAGAAATAAAAATTCTGTCATTATTTACTCACTCTAGTGTTGTTCCAAACCTGTATTCATTTCTTTTTTTGTGCTTAAATATACTATGGAAGTCACTGGAGTACAGCAACTGTTTGGTTAGCCACATTCTTCCAAATAACTTTTATTTTCAACAGAAGAAAGAAACTTGAGAGAGTAAATGATGATAATTTAAATTTTTGGGAGAACTATCCCGTTAATGTTAATAAAACAACAAAACACAGAGGAAATCACTCACTGCTCTTGACTGAGAACTTTAATAGAAGCTTTAATAAGCTTTTTTTGCACTTAAAAAAAAATATATATATATATATATATCGGTATCGGTATAAAATATTGGCATATCGAATAACGGCCAAAATCCTATATCGTGCATCCCTACTAAAACTGAATTAAATATAAATTAAAGCTAAATAGACACATTTGAAAAAAATAGTAGTTAAACCGATAACAGAAAATCTAAAAATAAATTCAAAATTAATAAATACTAAAATACCAAATACTAAAACAACATTTTACTACATTATTACAGTAATTATTTTGAATCAAATAACAATGCAAAAAAAATTAGCATTTTAGTATATTATTAGTAGTTATTTTGAATCAATGCAAAAAATTAAATCTGCATAAAATTGAGATTTTGATGTGACATGAAATGTATGTTATTATATTATTATTAGCAAAGAATATACTTAGTTTTGCAATTTTTTGCCACGAAAGCCACCATATCCCACTGATTAGCACCCAGAAGTCTTGGTTAGTCACCTGTACGATGTTGATTCCCTGTAAGGCAGCGATCCGGCAGGGGGTTTGCTGGTTGCCATTGTTGCCCAAACCGAGCTGCCCATTGCAGTTATAACCCCAGCCATACGTCTGTGGACACAGAGCCTTGAGTTAAACCTAGTGCTGATTACAGCATGTGATGCACAGCAACAACAGAAAACCAACTACAATTATCACAAGAAAAACTCTCAACATTGAGTGTGAGAAAAGTCTCATTGAGAAGAACCACAACATTAACAGTAGTAAAGAGTTTTAAAAACTCACCGCCTCCATACTAGATGAATGTAGCAAATGTGCGTAAATCTAAAAAAGCCTCTAACTACTTACAGTTCTCACGGTTTCTCATGGTATTTGTTTTTAAGACATGATTAGGCACAAAAATGAACTTCCTGGCTGACAGCCAAGACAGTTACATTCAGTTTGCGACATAATAAAACTTACTGAACTAAATATCATGTCCAGACAGCAATCCAACATGTCCCGACTGCATGCTCACTGTACTTGGTGCAATTAGTTATAAAAAAAATGTAATAAAAAAATTATTCATGCCCCATGACAAATGCCTAAATTCCATAAGGAATTTTATTTTATTTATGTGGTTGCTAATCCACCAAATAGTAATACATGTTGTTACTTGTGAACAGTGTTAAGTTACTTTTAAAAGTAATGCGTTACAAAATTGAGTTTCTCCCTAAAAAAAGTCACTAATTGTGTTGGTTACTTTTTATGGAAAGTAATGCGTTACGTAAATTTTTCTCGCCTGGGTTGGGCTTGCTTGTTTGTTTCTACAAAAAAGCTCTATTTTTGGCAAATGTTCAGGCCCTTTCACACCAAAAGTGAAATGAATGAGCCTCAGGCTGAAGGAAATGCAAATTCACGCCTGTATAGTTCAACCCCACTTTAAGAAAGTTGGGACATGTTGTATAATGCAATAAAATCAACAATCTGTGTAAAGTGACAATGGTTTTCCAAAGTACTCCTGAGCCTATGTTTAACACATAGCATGATGGTTTCTCGTGTAATGTCGTCCGAGCACATTCAACGGAGGTCTCCTGCCTTGCCCAACAAGACTGAGATTTCTCTGGATTCCCTGAATCGTTTCACATTATTAAGTTCGGCAGATGGTGAAAGACCACAATTGTCTGCAATCTTGCATTGATAAATTAAGAAATCAGAATTGTTTGACAGTTCTCGCATGAGATTTGGCACAAAGTGGTGAGCCTTGTTTTTGGTGGATGCTCCTTTTCCACCCAAACATGATACCCTCGCCTATTACCAGTTTACCTGCTCACTGTGGACTGTTTCAAACGAGTTTACCTTGGATACGCTATAATCTTTTGCCTCTGTCCCAACTTTTATGGAGTGTGTAGCAGCCATCAAAATCAAAATATGTTTATATCTACAAAGTACAATTACACTGATCAGTGAAAACATTGGAATTTTTTTCTTGTGCTTTTGTCAGTTAAATAAAGGTTAAAGATAATTAACAGAATTCAGATTCTTGATTTTATTGCATTTTACAAAATGTCCCAACTTTTCTGAAAATGGGGTTGTAGATTGCACAGCTCAAACTATCACTAGTACCACTATCAACGCCTAAATGAATCTGCAGTGGTCAGGTGGTACAGCGGTCACATGGTACAAAGTAGGAGCTCTCAGAAAACTCCTTACAAGCTGTAATTACGAGCTCTACGAGGACGTAAACACTTTTTACAAGTTGAAATCACATAATTGCAGCAATTACGACCTGGCGTGAACGCACCTTATAGAAGAACAATGATAAATTTAATAAGAGAAGAATATTTACTTTTTCCCTATACAATTAGTTTTTTACACGTTACAGTTGTTAATGACAGTTAACTTCAACTGCATCTCAATTCAAGCTCAGTGCTTTACTGTAAAATTTCCACAAAAAAAACAAACATGTAATAGTATTAGTAACTGCACGTATTAATGCAAAACAAAAGTTATTTTATGATTAAAAATCCCCCCAGTGCTACTAAATCAGGTGATCGGTAAAACTTAGTGGCACCGGTGCCACTGCTCTCAAATAGTCTGGAGCCCTGGTTGGATTGGATCAAAGGTCAACAGCAGAGACATTGGTTAATAAAATGAGATTAAAGACTATTTGTGTTATTTGACATATGTAATTATTGCAGGATTGAGTGATATTCTGAGTTTGCGTTTGTTCATTATGAGGAACACTAAATGTGTTTTTGTGCGAGTGAGATGAGTAAATGCATGTTCACATTTAATCTAGAACTGCAATAATCATCATGTTCACACACAGCGCACACGACGCCTCTGCTCTTACTCACGATTTCTCTCAACACGGGGACAGGAGAGCTGTCAGTCAATACATGAGAAAACAAAGTAACTTGCATAACTTATTTGTAAAACTAACTCAGATATTTTGTTTACAGTAAAGTAATGCGTTACTTGTTACTTAAAGTAATCTGATTACGTTACTCGTGTCACATGTAATGCGTTACCCCCAATACTGATTGTGAATAAATATAATTGAAATATCATTTATTTGATTATTTTTTTCAATCGATTGTCATGTGTAGATATTGATTAAACTCTCGTCTATTGTTAATCTCACCTCTCCATTGTCCAGGACGGCCATGGAGCAGAGCTGTCCGCAGGCGATGTTGACCACCACCTTGTTCTGCAAGCAGCTGCTGACCCTGCGTGGGGTGGGCTGGTTGGCCGTGGATCCCGAGCCCACCTGCCCGGAGTTGTTGTAGCCCCAGGCGAACACCTGTGCACAAGAGAGGACATGAACATGGATCAGAAAATTGCAAATAATCATTTGTGGCATACAGGCATAATTATTTCATAAAATCACAAACTTGCACTAAGCCATATTGCATTCGATTTTAGTTCTTTTGACGGATACTTTATAAAAAACAATAGCACAAAACACAACGTTAGAGACCTTTTGTTATATTGGGAAGTTTAAAAACATTTTCGATTCATTATTAAACTGTGGCGGTTAATGTCAGATCTCTATCTATCTATCTATCTATCTATCTATCTATCTATCTATCTATCTATCTATCTATCTATCTATCTGTCTATCTATCTATCTATCTATCTATCTATCTATCTATATATCTGTCTGTCTATCTATCTATCTATCTATCTATCTATCTATCTATCTATCTATCTATCTATCTGTCTATCTGTCTATCTGTCTATCTATCTATCTATCTATCTATCTATATATCTGTCTGTCTATCTATCTATCTATCTATCTATCTATCTATCTATCTATCTATCTATCTATATATCTGTCTGTCTATCTATCTATCTATCTATCTATCTATCTATCTATCTATCTATCTATCTATCTATCTATCTATCTATCTGTCTATCTATCTATCTATCTATCTATCTATCTATCTATATATCTGTCTGTCTATCTATCTATCTATCTATCTATCTATCTATCTATCTATCTATCTATCTATCTATCTATCTATCTGTCTATCTGTCTATCTATCTATCTATCTATCTATCTATCTATCTATCTATCTATCTTTGCAAAAAAAATCAGATACATGAACAGTGTATGTTATTGTTGTCTCCGTACAGTTTTATGCCATCATCTCTGTGTAAGACGACTGCCTCTCCTTCAGAAACGCCTTAAGCGTTCCCAAATGCGGCTTCATGCAGGGACGCTCAGATGCACACCTGCTTTATGATCACATGCTTCAATGTGTTTTGATTAGTGCTGGGCAACGATTAAAAAATTTAATCGCGATTAATCGCATGATTTTCTTGCGATTAATCGCGATTAATCGCATTGTTACGTGCAAAATTGAATAATGAATTCTAAAGTAGTGTATTGCGCACTTTTGATTTAAATGTACTGCTACAAAAGTGCAATAACATGTGGTTTGCAAAAACTTTAAACAAATAATGTGCTTTTATACCAGCAGTATTTCCTTTACACAGTATCAATAAAATATTTCTTGTAAATCTCAACTTAAACATTAACGTAATCAAATCAAATATTTAAACAAAGCTATTTGCCACTGCCAGGCCATTACCTTTTATCTAGCTTGTTAAAACGAGTCCAGTTTTCTTTTTTTTTCTTTTTTTCTGAACAGGTATATTGTATCAGGGAGCAGCAGAAACAGTCTATGTAGTCAAAGGGTCATGATCACTACTACAGATATAAGTCGACCAACGTTACTTCTCTGATAGCAGCTTAGGTTTGGTCATGGTATGCCATGGTTTCCCACGTAAGATTACATTAAACAGAGGTAAAGCCCAATTTATACTTCTGCGTCGAACTCACGCCGTAGCTGTGTAGCGCGCGTACCCTGACGTGCATCTCTCCAAAAATGTAACGTCAATTCTACGCGTACCGCAAGCGCTGCGATTTGCTAGAACCGCTCCCAGGGTTTCACACTCTCCCTCTGCATGTGTAATTGCGCGTCAACGCGGACAACGACACAGATATATAAATGAAAACCAACGCATAGTCTATAGCGTAGAGGCTCCGGCTTAGGTCCGACGCAGAAGTATAAATCAGCATAGAGTGAGGTGAAGTGGTCGAGCACAGGTGCAGCGACAAGCGGGTGCGTTCCTGTGAAACTGTTGCGGTCATGCTCGCCTCACGCACGCGCCCGCGCGTTGCCGAAGTTGAATTGTCTAACTTTTTGTACTCGACGCGCAGCACAAATCATTGGAAGAGAGACTGATCCTCGGCTCGCTGTTTGTGAGTTTCCAGAATCTAAATAGTTATCAGGACATCAACAGGAGGGAATTCACATGGCAGAGCATCCCCGCTAAACGAAACGCAGGCCTATCAGGTAAAGTTATGTATAATTTTAATTTAAGTTAAAAAGGCTACAGCTGCGTAGCGCACAGAAGCCGTTGCCATGGTTACTATCCATAGAGCGCCTGTCATTCACTCGCGGAGCGCTGTCTCCCTTTCTGTTCACCTGAGGCTGAGAGAACCTGCCAAATCCTCTCCACTGCTTGTTTGGGTGGGTTATTTGCTGGCTGACCAACATCCCACCCCTCCTGTGATCATGGTTTGACTGTAGGCCTATGTGTATTCAGAGCCAGTGAGCAACGGACTTTCAAAATAATAATAAAAAAAAAACTGCGTTAACGCGCGATAAAAAAATTGTCGGCATTAATTAATAAATGCGTTAACGCGATAATAACGCGTTAACTTGCCCAGCACTAGTTTTGATGTATGTTCAGTACCATGGAAACATCCTTAATGTCTTTTTTTTCCAGCTAGTAATTTTCAAGAACAGTGTCCAAGATGAATTTTTCCATACCTGTATGTATCTCCAAGGGAAAATGTTTCTTTGGAAATGCACGAACATTGATAATTATGTTAAATGAGTGCAGACAGGTTTACTCACCAATTTACTGTAATTTTCAAATCTGTATGAAATATTCAATCCAAGAGTTGCCTATTTCTAAAGTTAGATACTGAAGCAAAATATATTTTTTACATTATATTAAAAATCTGAAGTGAAAAAAAGTTCACACTGCACTGACAGACGCCAACCAACACGGACAATCACCAGATTACAGTATGTCACTTCTCAGACTTTCCACGACTCAACAAGCACCGATTTAACATGTTCAATATGCAAAAACAAGTTCCAACAGATGCCAACGACAGGGGTAACACTGATCCGACATAACGCCTTCTGTAGGTGCAGTGCGAATTGGCCTTGACAGAACTGAGGCTTTGCATTGTTGATGTCTGTTCACTTCAGTCATTCACAAACAGTGACACATCCAAGTACTGGTGGTCAGTAAAAAACTATTTACATTACAATATTTTTTGGATTCTCAAATTAATGTTAAGCTAATTTTAGTATGCTATAATTGTGTTAACACATTTTCCTGAATTTGATATCTCTGTTCATTGACAGCCTTAGTGCAAACAGAAAATAAAAAAGTTAATTTTCCAAACAACATGTCATGGTTATTTCTGTTCAGAGACTATTACGTTGAAGATTTTCTGTCCCTGTTATATCGGATTCCTGTTTATTTCCTGTTTCCTGAGTTTCTAGTAGCTCTCATTTGTTTCTATAGTTGCACATCGTAAGATGTGCGATGTCAAGTATGGGTATTGTATTGATCCATACGGACGAGCACCACTTTAACCATCATAGAGAGAAAGTTCTCTTACGAGAGGTTCTCTCGTATTGCGTAAGCTAGCTTACGCTGCGGGAAAGATTCATCTTTGCTGAGATATTGAAGCCAAAAATTATTTCATAATTTGTATCCATACACAACGCAGTTCCTCTGCGTCAGACCTAGAGCAGGCTAGCTAGCAGCTCATTGGTTCGCTCAGAGAGAACTGCTTAAGCCTATGGGAGAGCGGGGCTGAACCCGCTTCCAATGAGAGGCGCCCGCGCGCTCATTGCGTCATGGCCCGCCAGAATGGGCGTGGCCATGGTGTATATAACAGTCTCTCCCAGGCTTATATGTTGATTCATTTCATCTTCAGCAAGCTGCACGCTTCTGCTGTCCTGAGAAAGCCGTCGCCGTCGAGAAGGCATCACTCTAGCGAGCTCCCGGACCCTGAAGAAGCCGGCCGTCTTCGCCACCTTCAGCCGCCCAGCAAGCTAGCGCCATCCGACGACTGTATCCTTCTCTATTATATCTAAAAGAGCCGAGCGTCTTTTTAAAGATGTCTCGTTTTTCCTGCGGCTCTTGCCGCGCTCGTCTCGAGGACGGAGACCGCCATGTCATCTGCGCTCTCTGCCTGGGACTCGAGCACGCAGAACTCGCCCTCGCGGATGGAGGATGCGACTTCTGCGAGAGCCTGCCGTTGTCGTCCCTGCGGGCACGACTTCTGGCAGCAAAATCCGCTCCCGCCCCGCCTTCCTCTTCGCCGCGTAAGAAAAAACGCCGCTCCCAGAGGCCGCCGGAGCCCCCAGCGGAACAATGCGGGCCACCGCCGCCGCCTCCCGCTCTCCCTCCCCGCCCCTGCCGGACATACAGTTGCCGCCGAGTGGCCGCTCTGTCGCTTCCGATGACGCCGCGGAGGAGAAGGACTCCTGTTCACTGCTCGCATCAGACAGTGAAGAATGGTCATCTCTCGGATCCACGAGAGAATCGGCGGGGATCCGCGCCGGGATAGAGGAGGAACTAATGCGCCTCCTCTCACAGGCCGTCGAACGCCTCGGTCTCGAGTGGTCTCCTCCACCCGAGCAGGCCCCGAACCGGATGGACGGCAGCTTTTTTCATCGGCGCTCGACCCCCGCGTGCAACCGGGCCGCTCCATTCCTGCGTGAACTTCACGCAGAGCTGACGAAGTCCTGGAATGCCCCGCTCTCGGCTAGAAACCGCTCTGATATATCCGCCTCGCTGCGCTCGGTGGACGGAGCCGCCGAGAAAGGCTACTCAGCCATGCCGCCCGTCGAGGACTTGGTCGCCGCACACCTCTGCCCGCCCTCTGCTAGATGGCGCTCTTCCCCCACGCTTCCTTCGAAAGCTTGCAGAGCGACCTCGAGCTTTCATGCTCGCGCCTACGCCGCCGCCGGTCAGGCCGGCGCAGCGCTACATTCGATGTCTGTCCTCCAAGTATTACAGAGCGATATTCTCCGTGAGTGGGCCGAAGGCGATAGAAACCCCTCCCCCGCTGTCACGGATCTGAGAAGTGCTACGGACCTCGCCCTTCGCGCCACTAAAGCCGCCGCACAAGCTCTGGGGAGATGCATGGCCAGCCTTTGTGTTGCCGAGAGACACTTATGGCTCACGCTCGCCGACATGGGAGATTCTGAGCGCGCCGCGTTTCTTAACGCGCCCCTCTCCCCGACGGGCCTTTTTGGATCTGCTGTCACGGGAATCGTCGATCGCTTTTCTGAGGTCCAGAAAGCTACTCAGGCGATGAATTTGTTTCTGCCCCGCCGCGCTAGCTCTTCCGCGGGCCGCTCTCGCGAGCCTCCTGCCAGAGCTCCACCACAGCGCCCCCCTCCGCAGACTCAAACAGCCCAGCGCAGACAGGGCGGCCGCCCTCGCTCTCGCTCTGACAGCCGCCGCAGACCGCCGCCCCCACGAGACCCGCGACCTAAGATCACGCTGAAGCCTGATCATCAGAAGTCTGCCTAGCAAAGTCAAGAAAACGACGGTGCTCTCCCGCTGCGGCCGGACCGCCGTCAAAGCTTCGCCCTCTGCCAGTCCCCGTTATTTCGCCGACTGCTGTAGTGTTGACCGCCACAAACAAGCCGGTGTCCCAGCCCGCTTGCGAGCGACAAAAAGCCGTTTTTACGGCTACCCAGAGAAATCTCAAAAAGAGAAAATTTTGCTAGTTGTGTAGAAAATGTGCCCACAATCATGTGCTCACCCATACACACAAGCATAACATACCCCGTGTCTCTATCAGAGCCCCATCACATGAAACGGGCACAGCCCGCTCTAATATCAGAGAACATAAACACGCCCACGAGCTCCATTCCAGGCATTTCCCCGTGGGTACTAAGCATTATAAAGAACGGCTATCTGCTACAGTTTCGCCGCCGCCCGCCTCGTGCGCGCGCGCGGCTCGAATCTACTGTCAGCCCGCTGGCCGCCGGCACGCTCCGCTCAGAAATTGCGACGCTGTTGCAAAAGGGCGCCATAGAGAGAGTCCCACCATCTATGACCGAGTCGGGGTTTTACGGCCGTTATTTTCTGGTTCCCAAGAAAGACGGCGGCCTCAGAGCGATTTTAGATCTCAGGTCTTTGAACAAAGTGCTCATGAAGAGACCGTTCAAGATGCTCACTATCAGGAAACTCCTCGCGCAGGTGCGCCAGGGGGACTGGTTCATCTCTCTAGACCTGAAAGACGCCTATTTCCAGATCCAGATAAATCCCCGTCACAGGCCATTCTTACGTTTCGCCTTCGAGGGTCATGTTTATCAATACGCCGTTCTCCCGTTCGGCTTATCTCTGGGGCCCCGCACATTTACGAAGTGCATGGATACGGCGCTCGCCCCCCTGCGGAGTCAGGGGCTGCGCATATTGAATTATCTGGACGACTGGCTGATTTTGGCCCAATCACAGACGGAGCTTCTGTCGCACCGCGCAGTTCTCCTCGACCATCTGAAAACGCTGGGCCTCTCTGTCAACTGGACAAAGAGCTCCCTTCAACCCAGTCAATCGATTTCCTTTCTAGGAATAGATTTGAACTCGGTCACGATGACGGCTCGCCTGTCTACACAGCGCGCGCGCAGTGTACAGCGACTGGCCGCCTCGTTTCAGATGGGCACCCGCTCACCACCGCGCGTGGAACACGGGCCGCCAGCTGATCAGAGTTACGCAGACATGTCTCACGGCGCTGCAGCCATGGACAGTAGCAGAATGGTTTCGACAGGGCTTCGAACGCGCTTTCGCGCTTCCTCCCGCTCATTCGGGGACACCACGTCCTGATCCGTTCGGACAACATGGCTGTGGTCTCCTATCTCAACCGTCAGGGCGGTGTCAGGTCCAGGAATCTCTTCCTACTGACACACCGCATTTTAGTTTGGTCTCAGAGCCGCCTGCTCTCGCTCAGAGCGACGCATGTGCCGGGCCATCTGAACGACGGTCCAGACATACTGTCCAGGAACCTCATCTCCTCAGGAGAATGGTCCCTGAACACACAAACGGTCCAAATACTGTGGCGGCTATTCGGCAGAGCAGAGGTGGACCTCTTCGCGTCAGAAGAGAACGCTCACTGCCCAATATTTTTCTCAAGGAGCGAGGACGCGCTAGCCCAGGAATGGCCTCGCCGCCCGCTCTATGCATTCCCTCCGATCGCTCTACTACCACAGGTAATTCAGAGGATCAGGGACACACGCCACTCGGTGCTCCTCATAGCCCCGCGTTGGGAGAGTCAGAATTGGGTTCCGGAGCTCACTCAGCTGTCGCAGACAGCCCCGTGGCCCATCCCAGTCAGAGCAGATCTCCTCTCTCAGGCTCGCAGCACGATCTGGCACCCCCATCCACGGCGCTGGGCGCTACATGCATGGGTGATCAACGACTATTCGTTGATTTGCCAGAAGGAGTAAGAAACACTATCATACAGGCTAGAGCACCTTCCACGAGAAGGCTCTATGCGTCTAAATGGTCTGTGTTCTCAAAATGGTGCACCGACAAACATCTGGACCCACGGTCATGGGAGGTGCCGTCTTTGCTTGTTTTCCTTCAAGAGATGCTGGACAAGGGCAGGTCCCCCTCCACTCTCAAGGTTTACGTGGCAGCCGTCGCGGCGTTCTCTGAACCCCGATGCGCTCAGTCCCTGGGAAAAGACGAGTTAGTCATCCGCTTCCTCAGGGGAGCTAAGAGGATGAACCCTCCGCGCCCCCCTTCGGTTCCTATCTGGGATCTTTCTATAGTTCTCGAAGCTATGAAAGCACCCCCGTTCGAACCGCTCGAGTCTGTGGACCTAAAATACCTCTCGCTCAAAACCGTTTTTCTGACGGCTCTGTCCTCAGTAAAACGCGTGGGGGATCTTCACGCGCTCTCATCCAGCGCCGCGTGTCTCGAGTTTGGTCCGAATGATTCTGTTGTCATTCTCAAACCTAGACATGGCTATGTCCCGAAGGCGATTGGTACCCCGTTCAGGGCTCAGATTATTTCCCTATCGGCTCTGCCTTCATCCGATAGTGAGCGCGACGCCAATCTCCTCTGCCCGGTGCGGGCTCTGAGATTGTACACTACGCGTGCTGCCGCGTTCAGACGCGCTGAGCAGCTTTTCGTGTCGTTTGGGGGGCGCACCAAAGGTCTGGCCGCCTCTAAACAGACACTGTCTAGATGGATAGTAGACGCTATCGCCTCTGCTTACGCATCTAAATGCCTGCCCTGTCCTCTGGGCATCAGGGCGCACTCCACTAGAGGCATGGCCTCATCGTGGGCATGGTCCTGTGGAATTTCCATTCATGACATTTGTGTGGCCGCGGGATGGGCCTCCCCGTCCATTTTTGTCAGATTTTACAACTTGGAAGTTCCCGCCTTGCAGGCAAAATTACTAGCTGTCTAAACGACCAGCTCCCTAAGAAGCTGCATTACTGGGAGTCCCTCACACAACCGGTTCGCCCCTTGTGCTCTCCTTAAATGCTTATACACTTCATGTGCCCGCTCTGCCGGCCTCATACATGCTTATGTATACACTTCATGTGCCCGCTCTGCCGGCCTCATAATACATTCACTCCACGTTAAAAATCCCCCGGTATCACCCTGGGATTCATGAGTGGACTCATAGCACGCACGGCGTTGACCAGGTGTTCCCGCAGCGTAAGCTAGCTTACGCAATACGAGAGAACCTCTCGTAAGAGAACGAATCGGTTACCTAACGTAACCTCGGTTCTCTCCAGAAGAGGGAACGAGTATTGCGTTCCCGGCCGTGCTTGCGCTACTAGCGTTTCGCTTCACGCTGAAATAAATCAACATATAAGCCTGGGAGAGACTGTTATATACACCATGGCCACGCCCATTCTGGCGGGCCATGACGCAATGAGCGCGCGGGCGCCTCTCATTGGAAGCGGGTTCAGCCCCGCTCTCCCATAGGCTTAAGCAGTTCTCTCTGAGCGAACCAATGAGCTGCTAGCTAGCCTGCTCTAGGTCTGCCACAGAGGAACTGCGTTGTGTATGGATTCAAATTATGAAATAATTTTTGGCTTCAATATCTCAGCAAAGATGAATCTTTCTCGCAGCGTAAGCTAGCTTACGCAATACTCGTTCCCTCTTCTAGAGAGAACCGAGGTTACGTTAGGTAACCGATTCGTTTGCATGTGTTTTAGGTCCTGTCAGTTTAAACATTCAAGCGATTTTAAACCATTCGAGCGCACGAAGTCGCGAAAGAAAAGTCAGTTTGGACCTCGCACGCACACCTAATTCTGTTCTCTTCCATGTCTATTTGTGCTTGAACAGACACATTCATGCAAATACCCGATGAGTATCCTCATAAACACAGTCATAAACTTTCTTGAGAAAGAAAAAGGATGCCTATCATTATATTGGATCCGTGCATTCGGCCTTAAAGTGACAGCAGCCTAAGATTTTGCAGCTTTAACAAAGAGTAATTGTATTTAATGTATACGCTGAAGACTATGCGGTTTAATTTTACATACGATTATTCAATTTCTGTACCTGAATACTGAAGACTTACATGAAAAACATAAAGCACTGCTTATTTCATTTGTATCTTTGTTCTATTGTATTTAACCATGATTGTAATTTGTATTTGTTTATTATTTTCTATGCAGATTCACTCCCCAATCATTCTAGAATGATTAATTCTTTCCAAATAGAGCTATTCAAGCCATCTGGTGAAATTGTTTTCATTTCACAACATATATCGCAGAAAATCTAAATATAGAAATGTCCGGTTTTTTACAATATCGTGCAGCCCTAATATGCTAGGTATTATAAAAATGCCCGTTTTTTCCCCCTCTTGTGTAAAGTGTTTTGATTTTGATCAACATGTGTTTGTTTTTAAAAGTCCCACTCTAATCTGTCTTAAGATCCATTTCCTCATTTTTGCTTGATAAGATCTCTTTTTTACCTCTCCCTCGGTGGTGAGGGCTATGGTGTGGTGGGAGCCGCAGGCCACCTCCGTCACTCTCTTGCTGATGAGGTTGGTGGAAACCAGGGCAGGAGTCAGGCCGTGGTTGGTGGTGCCGTTGCCCAGCTGACTGTAGCCATTGTGACCCCAGGCATAAACGTCTCCATCTACAGACACAGAGGACAAGATACAGATCTGAGGATGAATCACTAGCTCAAGTCCTTATAAATTATAAGTAGATACACTTACACAATCTACCACACAAGGCCAAATAAAAGCAAAAATTGTCAAAAATACGACTGAACTTGAACATCTGACATTATTTAATTAAAGACTCTGGCCATCTGAAAACATCTGTTGTTTCAACCTTTACCTCAGTGAAAAATTTGATGTTGATCAGATATAAAAACGCTGTTCTCCAAAACTCCACGTTGCGACATGTAGAATATATCTCACATGAAGTCACCACCAAATACAGCAAAATTAGACAGCATAAAGATGTTGTGTTTTATTAAAAATATCTCTCGAGCGTTTCACCACAAAAATATTTGGCACGAAATGACGTTGGACGTCATGTGACCAACTTTACTTCCATATTGTTGTGTATTTCTGAGTTAAACAGCAGAAAGGCAGTCTTCAAGGTCTTAGCATTGTTATTAGAATTATATTAAACAGATGAACACTGACCTCAGAGACATCACACTTTCCAAAGCCAAATCTGATACAGTTAAGTCAGCCAAATCACGTTTGATTGTTGAACACATCTCCCATGAAATGCTGTAATATAATCTCAAGACTGAAAACCATAAACACTAGATAGAAGATTAAACCTCAGATAGTGAATTAACCAGATACTAAATCTCGACAGACATTTGACACCACAACAACAAAAACTGAAATGCCATCGAACACCTTCCTTCATGTTAAAAATATTGAATAATACTAATAATTATTATTATTTAAAAATGAATAATAATTCAACTATGATGAATCCCTCTTGATGCTCACCAGCTCACCATGTTTTTCTGTTTTGCTTATGATCATTTCCCAAAATCAGATCCACACCCACTTCCCCAAGGTCTGTGTATATACATTTACAAACTAGTGTAAATAAATACAATTATGGACAAGACTCCAGCGTATACATGATGATAACTTATGACCCTTTTTTAACAGGCTGCACAGTTAAGATAAAATAATTATTGTTGATTTTTTCCCTTGATACTGTATTCTTATTATTTTGTGATCCAGAATTTGCATTTCCTGAGGCTTATTCATTCTACTTTTGGTGTGAAAGGTTTATTAAAAGAAACTTTTCCCCCAACACTGATTATTATTATTAGAATATTGGGCTGCTTTTATGTTGTAATTAATAGGCTATGAATATGAATTATGTTTCATGCTTTGGAAGCGCCAGAAGGTCATGAAGCCACCTCAGCATAATCAAGTGAAAGTTTAAAGAAACGTTTTTTTTTTTTACCATGGTAGGATTTGTAATTTCACCATCCTGCAACCAAAATGATTTGGTACAACAAAATACCAAATCAGTGCCATTGTTCCATGTTAAGAGGAGTTGTCAAACCTGCAGTGGCGATGACCACGTGTGGCCCTGTGCCGTAGCTCAAAGAGACAATTTTCTTCCCACACAAGATGTCGATCCGCCTGGGCTCAATGGAGCTCTGCGTGTCCCCGAGGCCCAGACAGCCACTGCAGTTTGTCCCGAGTGCAAACACCTGCGGGCCGACACACAAACACAAGAGTTTGGGGATTAATGGTTCTCACATGAGTTTTATATAAAGTTTACTTATATTTCATTATGGACCATGTGCCAGATATCCTAAACAGGGCAAATTAGCGAGAGAGTGCAATCCCATATAAACACAGATGGACTACTTCAGAACTACTTCCTCTGAGTGGATGAAATCCTTCTTCTACCATGCGCTCTCTGCGATACACAACTATGCATGTCCTCCTACAGCAACTATCACAGCATGTCAAGGACAAACAGGGTTAAGGCATGCTTTTTTTTGGCCATTAAAGGGACAATGTGTACTTTTTTAGGTGGAGTCAAACTGGTGGAGAGGAGGGGATGAGTATTTGAGTATTTGAATATTTTACCATGTTTTCCCAGCTGTATTTTAGTAATATTGGACAATGATGAGAAATACATGGTTTCTTATCTAGCATTTTAACAGTTCGTTTGAAAAGTGATTGCAGAGGTTTCAAAGATGTAACATTAGCTTGTGACCAAATGGGTAAACAGTAAGTGATATGTGAGAAGATCATAGAGTGCATGTACATTTTTGCTGCCTGTGTGGACATTTGATGGCGGATGTGTCTAAAGTTACTAAGTGTTTTACATGTGATTTAAATGACAACTTAGAATCAATTAAAACTCACAGATATTTGTATTCTGACAGAATCTGCAGCCTTTCCCCTGAAACAAAAATATCTGGCTCAACACTGAAGTTTTTGTGGGACTTGATGAAGAACATTGCTACTGTTTTTGATGTATTCAGCTGCAGGCAGAATACTGACTTATCCTCATAAACAAAGAATGTATTATCTTTATATCCATGGGACGGGTAGGTCCATGGAGGCTTCCATGTAGTTCCGCCATCTTGAAATACTATAATAGCAGAGAGGGACAAAAAGTACTAAGCCAAAGCGTTTTCGTTCAGAGCCAGCGTGACGTAACTGAAAGCAGCAGAAGCGGAGGAGCATCATACTGTAATATTCGTTTGTTCGTTGTGTCCAAGTTGCAGTTTGTTTGAAATAACAAACCTGTTCACCCGAAGGAACACTCGACGAAGTGCCACTAGAAGACGGGACTCATAAATTTGGGGGCATCTCGCCCGGGGGCGGGGTTACGTCCTGCTTCACATCTCTCATGCGGGTTCTCGTTGACCAGGGTCAGCGCGCACAATAGCGCACACAGGCAGGCACAGAACTAGCTAGCGAACCTAGGTCTAAACCTAACCCTAACCCTAACCTAACCCTAATCCTAACCCTACCCGCCCCCCGGGCGAGATGCCCCAAAATTTATGAATCTCATTAGAAGACATCCTGTCATAGCTTTTTGGTACATAATGGCTACCGTAGATGCAACGCGCATTTGAAAAAGCGAGGCGCTGGAGAGCACAATTCGTTTGAATGCAAAATACAATTTCACTGCTAGATGGGAGAAATTCCAACACATTGTCCCTTTAATGGTGACATATTATGCCCCCTTTTGCAAGATGTAATATAAATATATGGTATCCCCAGGATGTGTCAGTGAAATTTCAGCTCAAAATACTCCCAGATCATTTATTATTAGGGGTGTAACGATACACGTATTCGTATTGAACCGTTTGGTACGAGGCTTTCGGTACGCATTTTTGAACCGAATGGTTCGTTGGACCCTTTTTCCTGCCGACCAAAATTTCGTTATTTCAAATGTAGGCGCGTCACGCGTGGCAAGCGCGCTCATAATGTAAGAGACGCTGGCGTGACCACAACATTGCCCAGCATCAAATGGCAAATGTAATATAAGCGGAACGAAACCACTCGTTATTGTGTGGTTGACGGACCGTTTATCAGTGTGGACCAATGCAGCGCGAGCGAGCGCGAGCACTGTTACTACACAGCGAAATCCAGTAAAGAAAACATTTGAATTCGCCACTGAAGTAATAACATCGCTGCGAGATCTAGTGAGAAACATTCACATTTCTCCGTTATTAACAGATCAAACAGCGCTGACGTGGAAACCAGGAAGAGACATTGTGCCATGATTGAACTATCCAGTGTCCACAGATCAGCAACATTCACCATGAGTTTACTGTAGTAACACTACTAACTGTAACCATGGGAGTTTGGCAGGAATAGTCGGCTATAATGCTTTCAAGTAACATCACGTCGGTTTTATTTTGACATTATGAATACAATTGCTGCCCTCAAATGTTAATCTGAACTAAAATAAACCTTTGTTTATAACTACTACAATATAACATTTCATTTCATTTCATTTTGTCCAAGGAGCTGTTTTGTTTTATAAGCTCCTAAGAAAAGTCAAGTATAGCTCCATCATTGCTCAAAGTAAAAAAATATCATACTTTATGATGTTAGTTTTAATAAAAATATAATTAAAAAAATTAAATCAAGGAAATTTCTCTGGCATTTCTTTCTTTTTGCTCTACCGAATCGTACCGAACCAAACCGTGACACGTGTGTCGTATCGAACCGAACCGTGAATTTTGTGAACCATTACACCCCTAATAGCTTGTCAAATTTGCCCCTTTTTGGGTGTGAGCAAAAACGCACCGTTTTTGTGCGCGTCCCTTTAAATGCAAATGAGCTGCTGCTCCCCGCCCCTGTTCAGAAGACGGTCGATCCTTTACACGAGCTTCGGATACTCCAGCGATAACAAAACACACGCATAATCTCACTCATCCAACAGTTTGCATGCTTTCCTCCAACTTTTCCCATTGCGTTAGAACTGGTTACGCTGTTGTTGCTTGCGAAACCAAATGGCGGCGCCGTGGGTGGAAACGTGCAGAATAAGGGGCAATAATATTATTATTATTAATATAAGTTATAAGAAGATTTTTGACATGCTTGCAGAGAAAGGCTTACAAAAACAAAGTTACTGGGTTGTCACTTTTCACGTTTTCTGGGTTGGTCGATGCATAGGGGACGCAATTACAGCACTTAAACATGAAAAAAAAGCTGATTTTCATGATATGTCCCCTTTAAATAATCTTGCAAATACCAGTAAACTGACTTAGTAAAATCTTTGTAAATCACACTGCATGATTTAAAGTGGTTGATAGAAATCAAAATTTCGACTCGTTTTTGATTGTGTCTCAGTATGACGTCATAGTGTGATGAAAGACCGCCTCTGCAGAAGATCTACTTCTACAGCATTGCCTCTTTAGTCCCGCACATCGATTCACACAAGTCATGGTAGTAAACAGTGATGCGAACACAGCATTACTCCAGCAACAAAACCATAGAGACGCTTCTGAGGATTACCAGACGTTTTAAAGTGCCTTTGCATCCTTGTTATCCTAACATTAAGAAAGCGTGGGTGAACTTTATTTTTAATAAATACATTTGTTTTTAAACAAGACACGGTTTGACGCAGGCTTTTCAGAGACAGAAAATAAAAGATGATGCAGAGATGACTAATATTGGATTCGACAGTAATGTCGCAACATAAGTTTAAGTAACGGCGTTTATTACCATGTGTCACTATTGCTTTGTTACAGATCGTTTGATATGTACTCACTTTACTGTAAATGATGAAAGGTCAATATAAGAATGTCAGTGCAACAAACGATGGTATTCATTCATAATTCGGTTATTCTGAGGTTTTCAAAATTTCACAGAATTCACACGTGTATTGGCGCGGTCGAATATCCTTTTTAATATGCAAAACTGTTACCCAATCATAGCAGTGGGCGTTTACTTCCGAGTCTTGAATGCGGCACGTCTATCAAAAAGTGTGAAAGAGAGGGTCAAAAACAGGATAGAAAATAGCCTATTATTTCTAAATTAGGATGTTTTTGATGTAAAAATCCTTGCTAAGATAAAGTGGACCTCAAAAAACATGCAAGTTTTGCAGGAAAATGCAGTTCATGACCCCTTTAAATACTCTCCTCCCATAAATTGTGTCTGGAAGGGAAACTCCAAAATGCATATGCAATAAGGTCAGCCATAAAAATAACCGTCCACACCTTTTTTTTTGCGCTAGTTTGTCACTCAGTGTCTTCCAAACATTCGTTTTTTAACACCAAAAGAGGGTTTGCGTATAGTTACGGCTCTGATTGCTCTGTTTACACAGCATTCTTAAAGTGTGTAGTCACCTTAGCACTTGACCCCTGCTAATGTGTTGAAAGAAACTTTCTCAAGACTTGATGACAAAACCTTTGTTGTAAAGGTTAATGGTACCTTAAGTGTTCTCCATGTTTTGTTTTGTTTTCTATTCGAATATCTATCAAAAGCTAAAAGGAAAACAGAGCTAAAAAAGGAAGTGTCCAGGCTCAGGACGTGTACCAAAGCTCCTCTCAGGAAGCAAGGCTTGTGTTAGTATTACAGGCCTAAATATAGCCTCGTTCTATCTGCTTATCAGCAGCCCAAGATCACTCTGGCTTTGTCTCTTTCCCATCGGTTTATCTGTGCAGGGCTCGACAAAACTTTGTTTGCTGTGGACTAGATTTCGACTCACCCTGACACACTTTAATGCATCACTTCAAAATTCTGTTGTGAGTTATTTTCATGTTACGGCCAATAAAATTCAATATATACTGTCTAAAACTGTAAATAAAACACTAGAAAAAAGAATACATATGTAAATGAATGTAATCCGGACGTACTCCATTCGCCATGTTGTCATTATCATGTGACCTACCAGCATTAAGCCGTGTCCTAACTACACTTTACAATCTCACTAGAAGATGCAGGTTACCCGGGTACTTTTCGCCCACTCTTTCACGAGTACAGTAAATTCAGACATATTCTTTTGTCACGTACTGTCCTTCGCCTACATAGGGAAGTATGCGATTTCGTACGTTTCCAATCGTGATAGTATTCAGGAAAACAGCACTCTTGGTACTTGTGCAAAATTAATGTACTTGTGCAAAATTAACGTAAACACAGCCAGTTATGTCTTAAGGGATTAAACGGACAGGACACACCGCATTACTTCTTTTATTTCAAAAGAGATGCGTGCGTGAATGCAGCTTAATAGATCTCCCGCAGTCTATGATGTCATAGTAAAAAACAACAGTAAAGATGAAGAAAAATCACTCACAGTTCTTGAATGGAAAACGTTCAGATAATCTATAGGCTACTGAAAGCATTTTTTGTTTGTTGTTTGTTATATTTTTCTATGCTCCTCTTTATTACTTGTTATATTAGTTTAAAATTCTTAACATACAACGGTTTTAATAAAAACAAATTAATTTGTAATTATTTTTTAAAAAGTACTTAATTACTTATGTAAACTAATGAATTAATAAGGGGGGGAAAGGTAGATAAAGAATCGTTCTGGAATCGGATCGTGACTCCCAGAATCGGATCGGATCGTGAGGTGACCAAAGATTCCCACCCCTATTATGCACTATCGAGCGCCACTTAGTACACTAAATGTAATAAAATCAGATTTTAGTGATTTGGTGATTCCCTAGTTATTTTTGTAATCAGTCCGGTCGCGCAAGTAAAATTTTCTTTCAATTGCACCTTGTCCCGGACAAGCGTTAATGTCGACCCCTGCCAATAAACAGCATGGCTATATATAAATCTTTAAGATTGATATTTTCATTAATATTACACACTAAAATTAGCAATATAATGGTTATACATTTACTCTAAATTAAAAAAATGATGTAAACCATTCACAGTACTTCTCGTCGGTCTTACTGAAGCGTCCTGATGTGTGTGTGAGTGTGACGGAGCACGAGCTCCACCCAACCTAATGAACAGCGAGGATCTGTCCTCATTAATGCTTGATCTGTCCATTAAAGGCTTTCAGCATCACTGCACCTCATCATTGACGGTAACGTAGATGGCCTCGTTGGCAGCGCTGCCGAACACACAGGCTTGACGGACGAGGCGCAGCTCCTCAGGGGGCAGGAGGGCGAACACCGGCCACTTTCCCACGTCCAGCATACTACTCTGTGGTGAAGCACATACACATACATGTAAATATAAATAAACACTTTTTTTTAAGCACATAGAGTCATGGTATTCTTTAAGACAGGGCTTTCAGACAGGGGTCCGGGGACCCACAGGGGGCCACAAGGGAGTCCATGGAAAAGAAGGGTAACATTTATATATATATATATTTTAAAAAGTTTAGGGAACCACATCAATGATGAGGTGCGGTACATATACAAATAATAATAAATAAAAAATTATAATAAATAATCTAACTAACTAAAAATTTTTTTATTAAAATGTAAAAAATGTAATAAACAAATACACAATTTAATAAAAGAAACTAAAATGTATTAGATTAAAATAAATAAAACATTATTAAAATAAACAAGTAAATATTTAAATAAATAAATAAAACTTGATTACTTTAAATACAATTTGATTTAAACAAAAAATAAATAACTATAAATAAATAAAATGTCATTTAAATGAATACAAATAAGAAATGCAGAGCAAAAAATGTAAAAAAAAAACCAAATAAATAAAAAAGATTAAACTTAGTGACTAAAATAAATAAATAATAAATTACTAAAATTTAAATAATAATTAATTATTAGAATAAATCAATTTAATTCAATAAATAATAAATGAATACATTTGATTAAAATGTATTATTTATAATAAATAATATATGAATAAAACATATCTAACTTACATCTAACATTGCAGTACAAGAGTGAATAATTTTCTTTACACATAATATACATTTTTCACAATATTAATTGGGTAATGAAAATGTATGTCTTTTAAATTTAAGGATGGGGGCCCCTTGGACGCAAATTATCATATTTTGGGGGTCCATGATGGCCATCTAAAAGAATGAAAAGCCCTGCTTTAAAATCCAGTGGAGAGTAGCATGTCATTTTCATTGTAAGAAAGACATACAACCAATAGGTGTTTACTACTGTGTTTATCAATATGTAGAAAGGTAGAACCATGGTGTGCCTGAAAATAAGTAGCATGGCCCCACAAAAGCACTTCATTGTAAGGGGAAACCCGTGAATATGAACTAAGGTTAAATCTTTGCATTTGAAATTAAATAATAAAGCAACATAGTTAAATATGTAACATTTTACTTAAGTAGGCTAACTTAGCTCTGAGACGTGTTATTTTACCTGACATAGATTAAAAAAAGACAATGCTGAACAAATAACATGTTACCAAACAACAACTTCTACACTAGCTGTTATCAAACACCTAGTCAGGATTAGAAAGTAAGTTATATGAATGTTTATGTAAATAAACGCGCGTGTTGATACTCGGCTGTTAGCTAACAAGCTAACATATTTATAACACCTCCTCTGTTTACAGATATAAAAAACAATCCATAATCCGGTTTAAGCCTCAAGCTTAGATGTCAAATGGACTGTCTGCAGCTGAATAGCAGTTGTTATAACATATTTAGAGGTGTTTGAACGGGTTAAGCTGCTAGCTGATGTTAGCCGGCTGGAGAGACAGATAGATAGATTGACGTCATAGAGAAGTGTCAATCCAACTCACAGCGAGGTTTTAAAAATTAAAACTCTCTAAATGTTTACCTTGTCTTAATATAAACTCCAAAGTCTTCATTCCTGGTGTCAATAGGTGATGTAGACGTGGAGAAGCGGTCAGTTGTGCATGGCTAGGAGAGAATAGTGCATGTGTGCAGTCTTCTTCTCTGCTAGCTCTGTGTGTGTGTGTATGTGTCATCATTAGGGTGGTTTGTAATCTGGATTTGAGCCAAACCAGCGTTACAGACAAATTACTATGGCAACTACAGTAAAATGGCATGGGCAGGGGTGTAAAAACTACACCCCTGGTTTGGTTTTACTCAAAAATGATAAGTGAAAGTATAACGAGTGAAATTTTTACTCAATTAAAAGTCCAATCTAGCAAAAAATAAACTTGAGTGAAGGTAAATTTTTTTTTTTATAATAATAATAATTAAAAAAATACAACTTTAACATTTAACACTTTTTAAAGTATTAAAAAAAGTAGAAGTAACCTAGTGTGGGAGGAGACTGGCCAGCAATCAGTTTCAGGTGCAGGTGGTTAGTTCTATCAAACCCTTTCGTGCATAGTGGTCACTACAGTGGACAGCTCATTTTCTTGAATTTGCAAGGGTTTTGATGGCAAAGTTGCACATCAACCTCTTCAGTGGACCCTGGTGCATCATCCTATACATTGCAACCAAGTTGTAAGCCATTGTGTTTTGATTTTTTCCCCCTCCAAACCAAGATGGCCAATGGTCAGTCAGAAATGCCAAGTTGCTCCGGAATATGCACCTATTCCTTCTATCCTAGGAGACTCTTGTAGGTAAAAAAAAAAAATCAATATTGCAGCATCAAGCAATATCTAATGAGTCATATCACAGTAAAAATTTTCCAAGTTTTGGTTTTAGATTGGGAGAAAAATCATATTTATCATCTGTCCAGTGTCCACTAGTGGACCTCATGCATCAATGGCTGCTATATTTCAGCTACAATTCATACTTATACTGTGAATATTGTTTTTGAAAATACTTAATCTGCAGTAATTTTTTTTGACTGTAAATAAATGTATTTGTATTATTAGAATGTAATTTTCATTGACATCTAAAACAGTAATGTAATTACATAATTTATGTGACTTGTAATGCATTAGTTTACTCATTTCATCAAAAAAGTAATCTAATTACGTAATGCATTACTTCTTAGATCAAAAAGTTATCTGTTTACGTAATGAATGTTGCGTGTAATGCATTTATTTACTCGTAACATCAAAAAGTAATCTGATTACGTAATGCACGTTATTGTAATGCGTTTCTTTATTCGTAACAACAAAAATTAATCTGATTACGTAATGCACATTACTTGTAATTAATTACTTGTTAGATCAAAAAGTAATCTGATTAGGTAATGCATGTTACTTGTAACACATTACTTTACTTGTAACATCAAAAAAGTAATCCGAATGCGTTATGGCTGCCCCAACACTGCTCATTTCAGATGAGATTGAAAAAAACGTATCGCTAGGTTTTCTCAGAAGAGGGCTATGCTAGAAATGTGTCCATCTCTATAACATAATCAGAATAGCTAATAAGGGTAAATATTAGCTAAATATAAACATACTCTGGCACACTGGCGGGAGCATCTGAGTGGTTTCCACTGTTGTAGGCCTACCTTAGGCTTCAGAAAATTCTGATGGAATCACGTCTTCATGTTCTGATATCAAAGATACACGAAGTGCAACTTGTATGAAGGTCAATTGCCTTATATATAAATATTTTGGATTTATATATATTTTTTTAATATATTTTATAGTTTTCACATGATTTGATATAATTGTATTGATTAGTTTGTTAAATACACATACTTGACTATTGTATTATGTTTAATACAGTATCTCTTCAGTTTAAACCATAAATGCATGCTGTCCACTCAAGTGGACATCTGAAAATCTCTTTGAAAAATTTGTATAAAAAAAAATCAAATCAAATCTTGTTTTTCATGCCTTAAGAGCAATAAAAACACATAAGAAAAAAAAATCCTGACTGAGGTTATCATAATTCATGCATGAAAGGGTTAAGACCGCATAAAGGGTCTTACAGCAACAGGTGGTGGTTGTTCTGCAGTTCTGGCGTGTGTTTGTTGTGCTCAACGTGCAGCCTCTGTACCCTTTCATATAGGTATGTTTTTAGTTGTGTGGTTTGTTTGCGTGAAGTGACTGCGCCTTGACGGCGCAATTCCATCTTTTTGTTATATTTTTCTTTTAGGCTGATTATTTAAGAGGGTTTATTCTCTGTCTGGGAGGCGAGGCAGACAAACATTTATTGCTGCGTACCTTCAATGGGCTGACAGTCGTGTTGGAATGCTGAATAATGGTAAACGCAGTATACACTAAGACCGATTGTTTATGAGTTTGATGCAATTAATATACAAATGTATTTGATGTGGTATCTCTTCTCTTGTTTTATAGTACCCTTTATCAATCAGGTTTGGGGATTGAGAGCTGAGATTGGGTAACTGTGTTGCAGCTGTACTTTCGCTAAAGTAGGCTATGTTTTGTTTGGTTGTTTTATATTGTGGGCTGCATTGATGTGTAACATGCATGTTTCCTTTATTGTTTTAAGCAGTGTTGGGCAAGTTACTTTTAAAAAGTAATTAGTTACAGTTACTAGTTACTACATCCAAAAAGTAACTAAATAAGTTACTCAGTTACAAATTTTAAAAGTAACTAGTTACTTAAGAAAGTAACTATTGCGTTACTTTAAAGTAAAATTAAATTTTAAATGCTCAAATGTGACCCCACCTCTACCCCTCTTTAACGGAACTTACAATACATGTGCATGTTCAATTATTTATGATAAATCTCAATATTATAATGAAATGGACACTTAATACAATACATTATTAACAGAAACATGAAACATTGTACACACATCTAAAAAAAAAAAAATGTTGCTGTGGGACAAAGTGAGACTAGCCTCCAATCAAATGCCATGTAGATATTATGTTTATATAGTGGATCAATGCAAATAACACAATAGATGTTTTGGAACTTTTGATATTTATTGCCCCTCAACAGGCCACAACTGGGCAAAATTAAATTAAGCTTGTTAAGCTCGTCGCCTTACCTGTCTCTCGTTGACTGACTGGCTTGCTTGTGTTGTTCATTGTGTGTCCTGCCCTGCCCGACTATGCGTTATGATGGGTCGTTCGCAATTCATGAGCGAGTGATGATGGATCGACTCGTTCGCGAATGAGCTTTTGATGGGTCGTTCGCGATTCGCGAATGAGGCGACTCTAAGAGCCGGCTCTTTTAGGTGAACGTCGGGAGCTGGCTCGCATATCTGAAGAGCCGACTCTATTTTTACAAATTTAGCCTATTGAAATTAAATAATTATGTAAAAAAAAATTAAACATTATAGTCAGTCATTTAAAGAGCCGTTTGTGAGCCAAAAGAGCCGGCTCTTTTCAGTGAGCTGAGTCAAAAGTGCCGAATGCCCATCACTACTATGCGTGCTTTCGAACACCCGCCCAACTCTACCTCTGATTGGCTTACAATGACATTTTACTCTACCTCAGGCCCCATCCACACTACTGCGTTTTAGTTTAGAAACGGAGAATTAAAACGAATACGATCTCCGTCCACACCAGCGTTTTAGCTGCGTATTAGAATTGATCTCCGTCCACATTAAAACGACTGAAAACGCGGATCACGTGACCATTCACCAACACTGGGCATGCGCGTGCCGGTGTAAACACAACTTCATTGATAAAATTATCCCACCATGCTCTGGGTTAACCACAAACCGACGCTCCGTACGGTCAACGCCGCCGCTGCACACGGGGAATTGTCACAGATCGCTCGAATAATAGCTTCACTCCGGCGCATGTAGGCAGTTATAGCGTTGTAAAATGCAGAATTTACTTGTACAACAGCTGCTAGCAAAGATATAGGCTACGCCATGACTGATGACACCCAATCATAGAGCCGAGCGTGAGCCTCTACTACGTCATCGTTTCTAAAGTCCTCCGTTTTGACCCGTCTACACTAAAACGCCCTCCGGAGAATCAAAACGAAAAACGGGTCGGCAGCGTTTCTAAACTTCTCCGTTTTGGGTCTCCGTTTTTTCCGTTTTAGTGTGGACGGGAGGTGCAAACGTAGCAAAAGGTCTCCGTTTTTAAACGAAAACGCAGTAGTGTGGACGGGGCCTCAGTCGTCAGCATGTATGCGCTTGTCTCGTGCTCTGCCCACTAACCAAGGAAGAACAGTAAAAAAAGTATTTGCCTCTCGCTCAGAGATCTAGTTGGTCTGATGAAAAAACAAACCCAGCTTCATCAGTTATAGTAACGCGCCGCATTTTTTGGCAGTAACGGGAACGGCGTTATTAAGATGAGAAGAGTAATCAATTAGATTACTCGTTACTGGAAAAAGTAATGCCGTTAGTAACGCCGTTATTCCCATCACTGGTTTTAAGGACCAGACCAGCCACTGTTTCTTGTGTATTTTAGATTTATATTGTGGTTTAATGTTATTTGATATTGACTTTGATCTTAAATGTTGTCTGTCATTTGCTTTGTTTCTTTGGTACTGCTCTCCTCTTTTTGTGTGTTCCAGTGCTCAGAGACTTTGTACAGGGCCAGGCCTGCGTCTACACTAAAACCTCCTTCGGTGTAGGTGATTTGGGTGGTGTGACACTGCTGTTTGGCATGTACTGGAGGTTGGCACTGAAATAGTGACTTAAAGGTTACTACTTATTTGCGGTGTATGCTGTGGGGTTTCTTCTGTTTTCTTCTGTCTCTTACAGGTGGTAGGAGGTCCACAAGGGCAGGCCCGACCCTCTTGCAGTCTTGAGGAGAGCTAATTCCAATTTCTGTGAATGTTGTTATCGACACGTTTTTAACATTTGATGGTTTTATTGGAACAAAAAAATTGTTATCTTTTTACAAACTACATTGTTTGTCCATAATCAGTATTGTGACCTTTAGAGGGCTCCTCCTGCCTTGAAGGAGGTGGCGTAGTCGGCTTATATTTCCTACACTAGCAAAAATAACAACAAGGAAAAAGCCTCCCTGGTAAGAACATAATTAATCATGAGGCATTTACAATAAAACACTAATTGTTTTTGAGATTTAGAACATTTATAATGGCCATCAAAATACAAATATTGTATATCAATATTGCTGAAAAATTTGCATCCGTAAGTTACCATGGCCCCGTAAACAATAAGTCATACTGACTTCTTCTGAATCTTACTATCTCTTAACTTCAGAGCTCACAAAAGGTCTAAATGTTTTTTTCTTTTTCTTTTTTTATGTTTCTTTATGGATTATTAATAATTCTGTTGCACTCTATTGCTTAGCTAAATCACGAAGAAAAAAAAAACCTCTTTGGATGATAACAACCTGACCATCAAACTTCGAAACACCAATGCAAAATTGTGCTTTGCAAGTCCATATAATATTGTAAAATCTAAAAAGGACTGTATTTTTTTATTATTTAGAAAATGTAATTCGGTAAAACTAATTGCACTTGACCGAAGTAAATGCTCCAAAACAATAGTTACTTGAGTATATTACACCCCTCAATATTTGTACTACTCTAAAACCATAAATTGTGGTTAAATGAAATATTAAATGAATCACACAGTGTAGCTGTAGACTAGACTCGCTGACAGAAAAAAAAATTTTATTAGTGTAATGGTACCATTGTGGCATAAATGTTAAAAAATATATATATGCTTGCCCCCCCCCCCAAAAAAAAGCCATAAAACGATATATTTCCATTGTGACAACTTGCGCGGGTCTCCATGATCTGTGAGTTGTATCTTTTCTCTAGGGAAACAAAAATATTCAATTGTTTTTTTTTGTAGCCAAGACTTTAAGGTTTGTGTTTAAGGTTTGTCTTATATAATGAATTGGTTGTCATGTTTTTTTTTTATACCAGTGTATCTATTCTGGTTTTAATGTTACAATGTCTGTATCTGGTATCTGAGAGGTGACTGAGGGTCATGTCATGAATGCAGTAACAGCGTTTACTCATTTATCTTGGCTTCCAGAGAATAAATATGTACTTTTTTTATGATTAATTAATTTGCACACACAGGCAAATTAAGCAAGAGTTATATTTTGTAGAAAGAGAAGTGTCAGTTTGAACTTCTTATTCATTTTATTCTGCTGTTCTCCTGATAGCTGTATGAGAAATGTAAAGTGTCTATATGAAGGTCAATAACGCACTACATGTATATTCACTGAAACATATGCATACTTACAGTAGTATGTGTAATGTATGTACGCATCAGTGCCATGTGCTCTCTGTGGATGTAGTTTTCATGTTCTGTTGCAGTAAAGTCCTGACAAAACTCAGCCTAAAAGGGAAAAGATATTGCCTATGTTTTTGTGCTTGCCGTGGTTGTTTATTATTATTTAAAGAGGCATGTGACCAAGGAATAGACTCCAGGAGAATTCAACAGTGTCCCAGTATTTAAGTCCTCGGTTTCAGTCTGTTTGTTGTCCTGTATTGTTTAACGTTTATGTTGTAGTGGTTTGCTATATTCCATGTCTCCAAGTTAACTCCAGCGTGTTTCTTTCTCTTGAATTTGCAATTAAATACTATTTTGTTTACTTCTTTGTCATGCTCGTCACTACCAAAATTGTGCTACCAAATTGTGACAGAACACAGGACCCCTAAATGAAAATGGACTTGCCAGTGTCATAATGTGGGTCTTGTGTCCTGTCATGTTTAGTGTCATTAGTGTCTTGTCATTAGTTATCCCAGGTGTTTCTTGTTATCCACGCCCCCTTGTTATCCTGTCTGCTCGTTTGTCTCTGATTATTTAAGCCCCGTGTTTTTGCCCTGTCCTTGTGAGTTGTTGAATGTATGTTAGATGTTAACGTTGGTTATCTCTGAATCCTTGAATCCTGTTTCTGTCTAAGTTTGTAGTTTGTTAATAAAGACACACTGCGTCTGGATCCAGCCTCATCGCTATTTCTACCGCACGACGTTACAGCCAGCAGTACGAATGCTCTGCTTTGGATTTTTTACAACTGTCATGCCTGACGCCATTTCTCGATTGCTCATCAAGGGTATTTTACCACGCCCACCTTAATGAGCAAACGAGGGCATGCCTGCCTGTCGATGGTCCTCGGGGGACCCTTTTGGACTTTGCAAAGTGGGTGCTGACCACCTGTGGACCAACTCGTGTCCCGAGTGTGAAATTCCCGAGTCCGTTACAGTAAGTGAAATTCCAGAATCCGTTTCCAGTGAGTGGAATTCCTGAGTCCGTTCCAGAGAGTTTAATTCCCGAGTCCGTTTCCAGTGAGTGAAATTCCCAAGTCCGATCCAGTGAGCGGAACTGTAGAGCCTGCTCTTCGTGTCTGCCCCGGTGGGATTGAAAAGGTGGTTCTTTCTCTGTGCGTTGCTGCTGCTATTTGTTTCTGGGTCACACACACACATCGGCTCCAGCCTCTGAACCCGCTCCAGAGTCTGCTCCCAGAAAAAAAAAATGTTGGGGGGGGGGGGGATGGGGGGGGGATATGTGGGCTATATTTCCCAAGCTCCTGTGGCCCCCTGCACTGCCGGTACCTCCCTGACCCGCTGAACTGCCGGTACCTCCCTGACCCGCTGAACTGCCGGTACGTCCCTGGCCCTCTGAACTGCCGGTACCCTGACCCGCTGATCTGCCGGTACCTCCCTGACCCTCTGAATTGCCGGTACCTCTCTGACCTGCTAAACTGCCGGCGCCTCCCTGGCAGCCCATGCAAATAGTGCCGCCCTGGAGGCTTCCCATCCTGCCAGCACCACCCTGGTCATTCTCTTCTCCAGCCCTGCATCAGCCTCCAGGATTCTGTGTGGATTATCGCAAGGTGAAGGCTGTGTCGAAATTCGAAGCATATCCAATGCCACGGGTTGACGAATGGCTTGATCGGCTTGGTACAGCTCAATTTAGTTCGAGACTGGATTTAACTAAAGGATATTGGCAGATCCCCTTATCACCTATACCCAAAGAAAAAACAGCCTTCTCAACGCTGTTTGGGTTGTTCGGGGCACCGGACACTTTTCAGCGTCTCATGGACAGGATTCTGCATTGGCAGCATCGGCAGCGTCATATGGAGCATCTTCGTGCTGTCCTGAGAGCGCTGAGAGTGGCCGGACTGTCGGCCAACCCAAAATAGTGAGCAATTGGGCGTGTGGAGGTACGGTATCTGGGCTTCCACTTGGGTCACAGGGAGGTGCGTCCCCAAATTAATAACACGGCAGCAGTTGCAACCTGCCGGAGACCCAATACCAAAAATGAGGCAGTTCCTTGGGCTGGTGTGATATTAGAGAAGGTCCGGCCTAATTATTCGGACCTCACCAGCCCACTGACGGACCTCACTAAAAAGTAAGCGCCAGATCCGCTCCAGTGGACGGAGCAGTGTCAGCAGGCTTTCACCCATGGCTAACCCGGCCTGAGTCGGGCGGTGGGGGTATGTGGCTCAGTGGTTCATGTAGGTTGTTTACAAACTGGAAGGTTGGCCGGTTCCACCTGACCAAGTGTCGAGGTGTCCGTGAGCAAGACACCTAACCCCAGCTGCTCCCGACGAGCTGGATGGCGCCTTGCATGGCTGACACCGCCGTCGGTGTGTAAATGGGTGAATGTGAGGCAATATGTAAAGCGCTTTGGTGGCCATTGGGTCTGTGAAAGCGCTATATAAATGCAGTCCATTACCATTACCATGTGGCGAGGGGTGCATGGTTCAGCGAGGTCCGCAATGGGAGAGAGAGACAGGGAATGCGTGGTGCGCAAGTAGGTCAAGTCCAAATGACTAACACCTGTGTCTGGTTAAAGTAATTGGCATGGAGAGACCGCTTAAAAGCTGATGGGGAAGATGAAGTAAGGAGAGAGAGAGAGGACTCGTTCAGTACAGCGATTGAGGCAGCAACGACTGTGTGTTTTATGAACTGCGTTTAATGGAAGTGCAGTGAGCGCGACTTTGTTTTGATTTGTGAACACTGAATAAACAGCACGAGCCTCAGTAATGCCGACCCTGACTTCTTCCTTCCTCATCTTGAACCCTTTTACATACACATTTCCCCACATTTGTTATATATTTTCTTACAAATTCCAACTGTGCCAGGAGGCTGATGGTGCGAGGGCCTGGCATAAACAAATTTTGAAGGGGTGGTGCCACCCTGGAGAAAAGACGTCCGTTATATATTCAACCAAACATGTTGATTTTTTTGTTGTTGTTATCAATTTTAAATGTTGGCTATCCCATAAATCCTCCTCAGAAAATGTTTACTTAGTATTTTATGACTGAAGAAACAGTTCATTTTGGGAATTTAGGGAATGTCATGCATCAACAACAAGGAAATCTCTAGACTGGATCATGTATACACACAAACTTGAGTTTATCTTGGATCAGACAAACATGACTCGCGCGCTGTTATCTGTGCGCACAGCCACACACCCAAACCGCGCACACGTAGAGAGAGAGCGAGAGATGTGTTTCAGACAGCGCTGGAACACTGAATTGATTCCTCTTTCAAGTTTACTTGCGCTTGAATGGACACATACACACAAAATTACGTCAAAATACCCAGTATTTTGGCAAGTATTCTTTCGGTTGTCATAAGTGAACAGTTGAGATGTGTGTCAGTATATTCGGCCTGTGCATTCAGTCTTAAAGTGACAGCAGCCTAATATTCCTGCTTTTATCTGTGTCATTAATGTTAATAAGATAAAAACATCATCACCATCATCATCTACCATGTTCGAGAGACTATCTATCTATCTATCTATCTATCTATCTATCTATCTATCTATCTATCTATCTATCTATCTATCTATCTATCTATCTATCTATCTATCTATCTATCTATCCTTATATGAATCTCTTCTGAAACCTCAAGCAGACGATCAGGACTGGGTGTGTCTGTAAAACCGAGTCATTACTCTGGAGCAGCAGTCGTGTAGAGTCATGCCTTTATACGGCTTCATCTCACCAGTCCTCCTGCTGCACTGGATTTAGCGTATATTTGTGGGAATTGGAATTTTTGGATTATTTTTTGTTTTGTTGGCAACCTCTTACAGGTATGTGCATTAGATGTTTTAGATGTTTCAATGGATTATTGATAGTGAAGCATATACTGTAATTTTACCATATTATTATAATTTATTATAACGATAATGGTGTTAAAAATATCTCTTTTTAGACTGTTCTAGAGAATTTGGATGTATCTCTTCCCTGAGGCAGACATGTCAAACCAAACCAGACGAATTATCTAAAAATGTATTCAGTAATATAAAGCATGTATATGTTCAAATGGTGTGTTTGGTGTTTTTAAGGCAGCATTTAAGTGACCAATACTTTGAACTAAACAGCCTGTTATCAACAACATCAACAGCTGTAACTGGAAAAGAAATCCTAACTTCTCTCGATAATACAAACTTTCCCTATTTTGCATAAATCTGCCCATCTTCCTTGTTTTTCTTCGCATGTCAGTACAAACTCATACAGTGTGTGATCAGTCATGGTTGAGTGCTTTGGGCTGCTATACTGAAAGAGGATATTCTTACTCAAACCTCAGTGCTTTTGCCTTGGGCAGATATCAGATATGCATTTTTCCTTTCTATTTGACCTTGGATAATCAATACCAGATTGTGTTATGAAATGAATATTTATCCAACTAATGAATAGAGGATGGTTTTGACTGTTTAGAAATCAAACAGAGTTATACAGAAATACAAATAAGAAAATATTCCAATTAAATATTTTTTTTATAGATATGTCCCACAGCGGACACAAGTGATGAGCATGTCCACTATATTGTAAATTATGTTTTGCGTTTTAACAGTATTCTGTGGTGGAAATGACTGTGATGGAAATGACCATTTTGGATTTGGAATACAAATGGCTGTGTCCTAAATACACACATTTAAGTCATATTTAGATTTTTGTCATAATTTGACAAAATCATTGTAAAAAATGATTTTTTGTTGTTGTAAGATGTAAATAAAACAAAAGTCAGCGGAGTACGTAGTGAAATAATAAAATGTCATGTTTAATTCAACGTGTTATTAGTCAAATTTACTAGCAATTTTTATAGCTCGATTGAAAACTATGCACAATATAAAATATTTTGATTTCAAGTGGCATTTACCGGGATTTTTCTTTATTTTCTTCACGTATTGCAACCCTTCTCTGTCTCCTTGATAATGTGATTTCATCAAGTGCAGCATGTTCTTGGATAAACATCGTTGTTGATCCTGGAACAACATCAACCAATCAGATTTGAGGGACAAGTTTACAGTTTATGTCAAGTTTAGGCTTACAATCGTGGTTATGTGCTTCTACATCAGTGTTATTCACATATCATTCCCCTCTGATTTTAGAGAGAAGCTATGGGTCGGGTTAGATTTAGGGGTTAGGAGGACTACATTTTCGGACAGGAATTTTGTTCCAGGATCGACAAAATATGTTGATCCAGGAACATGTCTTACACAAGATTGTGATCCTGTCACTACTATCGCAGGTCATTTGCCAGTTTAGCAGACATCACAAACATATCATAGACACATTTATGGAATATAAATATTTGACTGAAATTGATAACTGAAAAGATCATTTTGCAGGCGATGGCTCACACGATGAATTTTTTTTTTCCAATTTGTGGAGACTCTTTGTATAAATTGTAGACAATTGTACTCACAGTACGTGCCATACAAATGTGCAATTTGCTTAAACAATTAGGAAATTCAAATCTGGTTTGAACACGAAACTAAGGGCCAGTATTAACCAAACAGGGCAAATTAGCATGAGACCACAAACCCATAAAAGCGCCGATGGGAAATAAAAGCTCTGCGGGCGATTTACTGACAATGCACTTAGTACACAGATGGAGCATGTCAAGTGCAAAATGGGTTAACACAAGCTTTTTGGGGTGTTAAAGACACCCTGTGGTGAAAACCAAGTGTTTAATCTTGTTAATATGTTTATGTTGTGGTGTTTTCAATTTGCATTAAGACAAATCATGCGCAAATTCATCAGTCAACACCATTGCTGAGTATTTGCTCCTTAAAACCACAGTGAACCAAAGACAGTCTCACAAACGTGGTTTGAAATCACCCCTGCTTCCTACTAATGTGACCAATCCAATCCCGTCAACATGTGAGGCTTTTCTCCACGGACTTTCTATGACAGGGAGAGGGCCAATAACGTCCTGCACACTTTTGCTCCAACACACTTTCCTGGAAGTTTCTAATGGCTGTGTTCGAAATCACCCCCCTATATCCTCATTCAAATCCCCTACATTACTCCATTAATATAGCCCACTTAAAGGAGTGAAGGAAAACAAGTGAGTGAATTCGGACACTGAGTGCGTCAGAAGGGCTGCTGCTTTTGCATAGTTTGCGGTTGCTGTTTAATAATTATTTGAAACTTAGCAAACTGGCAGCTCCATTGGTAATGAAAGGATTTATCTTGAACTCTGTCATGAAAACTAGCATGTATAAACCTTAATCAGACCATTAAAAAGGAATTTATACCTGTATGATATTACGCTGTAGCCACATTGGACCAGCGGTTTTGAAAATGGATGGGTGGATAATTCAGCTGTGAGTGCCATCTTCTGTTCACACACGGGAATTCATTCGATGCGCGACTCTCACAGTGCATTATGGGTAGTCTCTAGCGGTTAGCGATTTGAACGCATATGGAGCTCTAATCGCTCTCGCGGTACTTTGATATCATTCACCGATCGGTCTGTGCAGCGCCGCTTCAAGTCCAACACACCTGTTGAGCGTACAACGGTTGTACATTGCATTATGGGATTGAATGAGTGCACTCGATAACGTCCACAATGATTTCGGACACCAAAAGGCTGTCCCTTCAAATAGTGCCCTATTTCAGGTTATAGGAGGCGATTTCGAACACAGCCTGGTCTGAAGAGCTTGATTAGCATGTGAACGTGTTTAGGGTTGGAGAAACTCTGCAGGACAGTGGCCCTGGCTTCAGGAGTAGGACACCCCTGATCTATGATGTTTAACCCTCTGGGGACGGCAAATGCACCGGTGCGTTTTGCCAGATTTTTTTCACATAGCAGAAAAATAGACTTAAACTACTCCATCATTTCTGGTCATACAGAGTTAAGACATATTAAAAAATAAACTGTTAAATGTCTACTTTTTTATGTGCCCACCTACAATCGAAATAAAACATTTTGCTTTTGTAAAATAAAGAAAATAAACAGGGTGTGCGTTCTGCCTCTCCGTGTCCGTGAACTTTTTTTCTGGAGTACGTCTCTAAACTTAAACAAAACTCAGCGAATACTATTCACCCAGACATGAGCAATATATGTTTATGATCATTTAAGTTTGTACTTTTAAATTATCTAATTTAAAACTAAAATAAATATTCTCTGTTTATGTAATCTATATAAAAAGAGAGAGGTGTCAGCCGTTCTCATTATCGTTCTCGCATCTCATTATTCCGCTAATGTGACACGCCCACGGAGAGCGCGCGCTATTCAAACGCTAATGATCTGAAGCAACACATTGAGACGTGTAAACGCCCACATAAACTCGGTAAACACACTATATTTAGTCAGATTAATGTACTGTCGTCTTGCGCGGCTGTGAGGAATAATCCTGGGACATTTACCTACCTCAGAACAAGTGCTGGTTTATTTTCACTTCGAGGAGCGAGCTGAACTGTAAGTGTTTTATTCTTGTGCTTTATTCTAATCGCGATATATAATAACGTTAGTGTCTCTAAACGCAAAAATAGCCTACTGTTTAAATTTGAATCATGTTTCTGTGTGTGTTTGTGTGTGTGTGACTAGTTTTGGATAGATTATAAAGTTTTAACTCGAAAATAGACATCAAATAAGCTTTTGTTAGCAGTTTCTGCTCATATGTTAAATATATAGTATGTTTTGTCAATAAACTAATCAACTAAGATGTTATAGTGTTTGTTCCAATGCAAGCTATATCAAAATAATGAATCCTTAACTTTGAAATATGTATGATAAAATGTATTGGCCTACTAAGACATTTATGGAAAAAGACAATTTTCTTTTCAAGATGTTTCCAACTCTAACTTTGAACCAATTCTGTAGAATGGCCCATATAACCTATTTAAACAGGATTTGTTTCCAGGTATGACTAAAAATGTGCTTTTGACTTTCATTTATATTTTGATTTTATATATATATATATATGTATATGTATGTATGTATGTGTGTGTGTGTGTGTGTGTGTGTGTGTGTATATTGTCCTTGCATTCTTTCTTGTGTGACACACCTGAATGAAAGGCTCATTAATATGCGGGGTCTTTGTCTTCTCAACCACCTAATTATTCACAATAGGGGTTGGGCCGTTCACGCCCATTCGCATATTGCCTTGGCTGACAAAAAATGTTTTTCACAATTTAAAATAATCTATTGTGTTATGTCAATGATTAGACAAGATGATTTTCAGATAATTTTAAAGCAAAAACTCTAGGCCACAACTTCCATTAGTCAGAAGTCTTGTGGACACATATTTAGTATGTGTTTTGTGGCTTTATTTCAGAAACTTTCATTTTTAGTTTTTTCAATAACCATGCATAAACAATATTCTCTCAAAAATACAAACATGTACATACATGTTGCTCACATATTATGGTAGCCCTGTTTGTGCTAAATAGAGAGTAATTTCACCTGTGCCATTAATATGTTTATAAGCAACTGAAAAAAGCACAAATGTCAGGGCATGTCAAAACATCTCAAGGACCCCAAAAACACCTTGGTCCCCAGAGGGTTAAAAAGCATTGCCAAGGATGCTGATTTTTAGAAGTCAGTTGCCTGACTCTGAGATGTTGAACGGGAACATGGTTTGTGTAGGATTAGCAAGACCTAGCGATACATAAAACACATTCTGATACAGTATACCGACTTGTAGACAAGCCTGTATAATTCACTCTTCCTCCTATTTCTGAAACAGTTTCAGGTTCAATCATATATGGCTGAATTGAACCAATATTTCCATGTGTAGCATTTACTACGGTTGACCAAGTGGGATCTCTGAGCTAGTGCGATTGAGTGGAGGCGGGGCTAATTTGCATATTAACCCTCTGGGGTCCTTCGGCCCAAATGGACCCGAAGCATTTAAATAAATTTTGTTTTTAAATCATAGCTTTATCGGAATGGTCCGAAATTTGGTGACTTTGTTGGTACTTGGTATATCAACACCCAAAAAAATTGGGGACAGGATTTGAATAGTCTAAGTGGTTGTAAAAAAAAAAAGTCACACTCAGGACCTTCGGGTCCAAATGGACCCGCATAGGAAATGAATGGGAAATTGGCAAAAAATGTGAAAATACAGAGTTTTTTTGTGCGTACAATCTACAAATCAGCCACGATCCAGAAAAAAAGAACACAACAGTGAAGGGGTGAATCTATAAAACATCAAGAGTGCAAAACAGACACATCCACACACACACACACACACACACACACACAAACACACTTTTATACACATACACACTAATAAATTCAGATTACATATGGGTTTTGAATTTTTTAAATGCTCAGTTTGTCCACCAGATGGCATCCATCTCATTTCAAAAATTGCTTTCTTGAGGCCTAGGCTTGACTCTAAAATGAAATACAGCTTTAAAAAAAAAAAAAAAAAAAAAAATTCTATTATATTCAATGGGGAAAAATGGGTCATAATTATTGCATTAATATTAATTATAAATAATTTTTATTTTTGAAATTATCTCAAAACACACACAAAAAAAAAAAAAAATATAAAAAAAAAAAAAAAAAAAAGATGATTATTTTTTTAATAAATATTAATCCCAGCCTTCCGGCCCATTTGGACCCGAAGGTCCTGAGTGTGACTCTGAAATGAAGGACCCCATTTAATTAATTTTTAATTTTTAATTTAAGGGTTAATGGCTGTAAACAGTAAGTTCAAGGGTTAGTTCTCCCAAAAAGGATAAATTTGCCATCACTTACGCACCCCCATGTTGTTTCAAACCTGTATGAGTTTCTTTCTATACCGTTGAACACACAAAAAAAGATATTTTGAAGAATTGAGCTAAAGCGATTGAGGAAAAACTGTAAATAATAAAGGCATTGTGAAAAGATCGCAAAATAAAGTTCTGTTAGTTTTAATCAAAGCCTTGGAAACATCGAGCCTGACATTGAACAAACACCCATTAGGCTGTCTAGTTTGAAAATGATTCAAATTCCATAGCATTCTTTAATGTGATGTCTTTGATTTACTGTATGTCCTGTCCACAGGATTCCCGACCCAACCATGGGGGATCAGAACGCCACATCAAACAACTGCTCCATCAGTGACTTCAAGCACACCGTCTACCCGATTGCTTATCTGTTCATGTTTTCCCTTGGGCTTGTTTGCAACCTCATATCCCTGTTCTTCTTCATTTCCTCTTCGTTGAGAAGAAAAGCGTCTTTCTCTCCAGTCAACATCCTAATGCTCAATCTCCTTCTGTCCGATCTGATGATGGTGTGTTCGTTGCCCTTCCGAGCCGCCTACTATCTCATGAGCTCCCACTGGGCCTTCGGAGACGTCACCTGTCGGATCATGTCCTACGTCTTCTACATCAACATGTACGGCAGCGTCTACCTCCTCGCGGTCCTGAGCGTGGTTCGCTTCGTGGCCATCGTGAAGCCGTTCGTATACGTGCGCTGGCAAACCTCTCGGAGAGCCTGGACGATATGCATCGTCATCTGGCTGATCGTGGCCCTGATGTCCATCCCGCTCCTGGGAGCCGGAACGTCTGTGGAGTCTGGACGGATCAAATGCCTGGAACTGAACCCGTCCCAGTTGGGCACCATCATCGCGTTAAATCGAGGCGTCTTGTTTTTAGGCTTCGTCGTGCCCTTCGCGGTCATCTCGGTCTGTTACATTTTCGCGGCCTTTTATTTGCTGAAGCTCAAGAAGACCAGGAAAAATCAAAGGTCTCAGTTCAATCACAAGAAGTCCTGTTCTCTCGTGATCATCGTCCTGCTGATTTTCCTCGCGTGCTTTATGCCGTATCACGTCGTCCGAACTCTATTTTTGGAGGCGGAGATGGACGTTATAAACAATGGTTTCGGAGAGTCCTGCGATTATATCGAAAGCCTGAGAAAGGCCGCGGTCATCACACACGTTCTGGCCTCGGGAAACAGTTGCCTGGATCCGGTGCTTTTCTTTTTCGTAGGGGAAAACTTTATTAACTTTTGGCGACAGAATACACCAAGACGACAGAGTTGTATAATTGAGCAGAATGTGAAAGTGTTGGAGAGATAAACAGTGATATATAGAGAAGATTCACACTGATCTAGAGCCCTTAGTTGGGACCTGTCGTGACTTGAAGGGGAAATTCCTGGAAAAATATTTGATCTGTGTTGGATCTGTGGTCCCATGCCGGAAGAACTTGATTAACCTCCAGAAAGTCACGATAGCTATGTTTCCAACCACAGTTTTGAGCTGAACTAATGTGAATATTGCATAAATCACTGTTGTGTGTTCAAGAGAACAAATTGGTAACCAAATCCTTTCAAGGTCAGACTTCGGCTCTGGAATTCACGAATGACTAAAACAACATTTTAGACGGTGTGCGATGTGATTGGTCTTCTGGCTATAGTCCAGTTATCCAATCACATGGTCTGTGGAGGAAAACATTTTTTTGTTGTTGCGCATGGAGGAACTGATTTATAATTTATATAAATCTCATTTTGCTTGTGTTTCCTCTAGAGTTTCAGACAATCTCACCGTGTCTAAATTTTCAACGTGAAATCAATATTTCCCAACAAAAATTTCAGACCAAAACACATTCGTGTTATTGTTCTGTGCTCTATGTCTACATTGGCTCATTTGTATAGATAGTTAACCCAAAAATGAAGCCATTAACTTGTTGTAACATTGATGTATGCTCTTCAAAGCTCTGTATGTTTTGTGTATTTGAGTGAACTATCCCTTTAAGGAATTAAGGTGATATCAGTGAATTTTAGAACAAATATTTGAGTCAAAATGGATATTTAAACAAAACTGAGCTATAAAAAGACACTTTATACCCTTCTAGGAAACATACGCTAGTAATTTATTGAATTTGTGTAAATATTGTCAGTAAGTGCTTACATGTGTACATTTCAAAGGGATTCCTTTAAAGTACATATTTTGTGTTGGTTATACATTTCTCAATCAAAATACTTGTTTTGATGCGTATCAGTTATTGTAATATTGTAATATTGTAAATGTTTCAAAGATTGTTTTTAATGCTTCTATCCATCCATCCATCCATCCATCCATCCATCCACCCACCCATCCATCCACCCACCCATCCATCCATCCATTAGGGCTGCAACAAACGATTATTTTGATAATCGATTAATCTAACGATTATTGGAACGATTAATCGACTAATCATCGATTATTTTCGCAGACTAATCAGTAAGTTTGGAACGATTATTCAGCTTTTCCAATTATTTAAAACATTGAGTTATACATATTCTAACTATAATATAAAAAAAGAAAATCACTTCAGCTTTTGAAATAGTTGTTTTAATGAACTTTGAGCCAACTAAACAGGTCATTCTCTTTAAGTTTTCAGATTTCGGTCCAACTCAAATCACACACAAATGCTCTCTAAGCATTGTTTAATAGGCCCACTGCTTTTCTTAGAACTGAAACAGAAAAAGGGACATTTACTTCAGGACACAAAGAATGGTAAAATATTAATCTGCAAACAATTATTATAATTATAAAATTACAATCTTTTTTTACATGACAATTGAGCTGACAGAGACGTTCTCATTCACCTTTTAATTTATAGTATGAAAAAGTAACTGCCATGATATTCTTCCTATATCATAGGAAGGATAGGCCTATAACATCTCGTTTTGTAAGTCTTCATGATTATTGAACAAAATACAGGCAAGTGATAAGACTATAATAATACCTAATATACTAATAGTGTTACAATAATAAAAACAGCCCTGACTCCTAAGCTGGTTCAAGCTTTATTCTATACAAAATAAGTCATCACATTACTGAAATTATATTACTATTGATAATATTATTACTATTATTAGTAGTATTGCATTCTCTAATAAAGAGAGATTTGCCGCTGGTTAGTAGGCTAAGCTCCAGCTGGAGAACACTCACTTCTCACCGGCTCCTCTTTTGCCGGGATGTTTCCTCTTGCACTCCAACATGCATGTTGTGCTCCCGTGAAAATTGCACACGACAGCATTCTTGATTTGAAGTTTTGTGAAACTTTCCCAAACCTAAACCTTGCTAGTTCGGATTCGTTTGCACTCCCATAATTCGCGCTGTATTTTCTTCTACCGCAATAGCATTTGTAAGGGCTGCACTACACTCTAGCGCTACAGCGCCGTAGCGGTCAAATCGCGGGATTGCAGGCCGTTACATTAGGTCACGTGAGATCAAACGACTACTCGACAACAAAGATATTTGTCGACAAATTTTTATTGTCGACGTTGTCGACAACGTCGACTAATCGTTGCAGCCCTAACATCCACCCACCCATCCACCCACCCACCCACCCATCCATCCATCCATCCATCCATCCATCCATCCATCCATCCATCCATCCATCCATCCATCCATCTATCCATCTATCTATCTATCTATCTATCTATCTATCTATCTATCTATCTATCTATCTATCTATCTATCTATCTATCTATCTATCTATCTATCTATTCTATATTTTTTTATAATATTGCCAAACCTGACCTGCCTATTTATGGAATTAATTAGCCTTCTAATTATTTCAAATTTTTCAGTATAACATCTATGATAACTGTAACTGTAATGTGAAAATGAAATGAAATTGAATGCAAGTGATAAAATGATTATAAAATAATTATAGCAACATTAAAAAAAATGTTTTGTGTAATTTTTTTTGTAACTGAGGTTCTTTTTTAAAATCCATGTGTTTTATTGCTTGATTGCCCCATTAATGTTATAGAATTATTTCAAGATTACTGTTGAATTACAGTTTTTCTCGATCAATTTGACACATTTCTCCAGATGAATGTAGTTGCTCTCAAAACAATTAACACAGCAAACTGAACATACTCTTCAATTTTACTGCATAATTAACTATTTTATTCTAGTAATGCATTTAAAAATTAATAGTAACATCAAAACTACAGGTGTGTTCTCTGTTGATTTGATAACAAATTCAGTTGTAGATACACAAATACATGAATGAAAATAAAATACATGTTTTTCGTATTCTTTAATCATGTTTTTTAAAGTGCTTTAATGACGAGTTTAGTTGTATAAAGATACATTTTCACCCAAAATAAATAAATAAATAAATGTGCAATCATTGAATCAATGAACTTTAAAGATCATGCCTCTCATTTACATCTGGTCAAAGAATTTCATCAACATCATAGCATATATTTTCACGAGTCTTGGGGAAAAAAGCTGTGAATGCTGGATCCATCCTTGTGCCTCAACTTCTCCAGACCTCTTCCCTCGCTTGAAGAAGACTTGTAAGGGTTGTGATCATAAACTTTCCATCTCCAAAAGGAGAAAATACTGGAAGGAACACTGTCCTGAAATGTGGAAGATGCTCAAACCCCTCTTGCACCAGTGCTGAATTGTGAAATTGTACATTGTCCCAAACAACTACACAATTTCGCTCAATTTGCTCCTGATCACCTTGCGGAAAGTGGATTTCATTGAGGGAGTTTAAGAAGTGTAGAAGCCTTTCTGTGTTGTACGTCCCCAAGACAGCGCTGTGTGCCACAACACCAGTGGACTGCACTCCAGCACTTGTTGTCCAGGGACATTTACTGGGGCACAGAGTTTATATTGGGCTGAACTCTCTGTCCAGCTTATATCAAGGAAAGGCCATCATTTATGACATGGTCAATTAGAGTGGCTCTGACTTCATTTGAAACCCGTCTGTACTTTATCTTTCTACCTCTCCTCCGTCCTCTGACACCTTGCTCTCCCCTTCCCCTCTGTCCATGTCTTCTTGTATTTTCTGCTCTTTCCTCTAATACCATTGCCTTCCACTCTCTCTTCTCCTCTTCCTACATCCCCAGCTCTTCTTGCTTCTCCCAAATCCTCAACTCTTCTTGCTCCATCTCCTCAACTATACCCTCTATTCCTTTCCCCTCATCTCTTTCTACCTCTTCCACTGTTCCTCTCCCTTTCAATGTTACCCTTCCTCTATCCTCTCCAAAATCTCTCACTCGTCCTTTTCCCATTCTTCTTCTTTTTTTCTTTTCCCCTTTATAGTTTTTGTAATTGAGATAGTGTGTAAACAATTCGGAAGTTTGCATTTCCTGTGTTGTGTGCATTAGGCTATACTAACTCAGCAGAACTTTATTTGTGGCTAATTGAGAAGATCCCGAGTGCAACTGAGAGTTTTGTTTGTTGTGTTTGGAAAAATGGTGCACAAATGATTGTGATTTTTGTAAAACCAATAAAAAAAGCTGCAATTGTTTTTTTCCTGATACATTAACGTTTTGGTTGGCTGTATGAGCTGGGAAAACATTTGAGGATTTTGTGCACAGCGTTTTGAAACAATGATGCATGTGATTTGCAATTTGCATAAAAAAAAAGGAAAATTTACTTTGTAAAGGAATTACAAAGTGTTCAGAGCACTGCGTTAACTGTTTAGAGAACACAAGTGACCTGAGTTTGGAGAAATGTGTCAAATCGATTGAGAAAAACTGCACTGGCTGGACTCGAGCTCTTTGACTGAATTTGGAGGACCTGTCCAAACATCAATATATTCTGCAGTGCACAGATTCAAAGAAAATGTTATATCAGATATAGCCAATGATATTTATAAATATTGTGTTTACTGAATAGTAAAAACTTTCAATGCAACATATACTGGAAGTGTTACAAAAGCCAAATATTCGCCAGTTAAACCAGCAGGTTGAGATGCTTTATATGAATATTAGCTGTAACAGCATCAGAGTTCTTATATCATGAATCAGATAAACGCGCGACGACAAGTGTCACTTTTGGAAACCAACCCGACTAGATGAAATTCTTAGATAGGACTTTATTTTACCTTGTATCATCTTGAGTCCTTCTTTGCAACGCTTGATCCTCGAAACATCGGCTGCAGCTTCACCTGACGAGACAGTATATCCCTTCATACAGAACACACTGAGTGTGAAACTGTTCCTTTTTTTCTGTTTTTCTCAGTCGCTTTGGTACATTTCTCGAATCATCCTTAACATTTGCAAACCAGTATGTTAATTTCTCTAAACAAAATCAAAATGGACTAGGCCTACCTGCAAAAACTTGCTCAAATCCTTATCTATAAAGAAAATACGCATTTTTACAACTATTTCAACCATTTTGCATTTAATGACTTATGTAAGGAACTAATGCCTAGATGTTTTGAGGTGTAAGACAATTCAACAGAGAACAATTTTGAGCAACATGACATTAGTAATTGATAAACAGCAGACAGACAACTATAGCTAGGCTACATTTATCAATCAATTGCATGAATCCAAAGCATTTGTAACTTGTTCAGAAGAATGAGAAATTGATTTTATGATGTGCACAAGTGAGTAGATGAAGTGACCAAGTAGTTTTGCTTTGAGAATTTGTGTGTGATGATGATCTGAGAAATGCAGCAAAGCGACTGAGATTCCACGAGGCACGTGACGAGTTTAACCGTACACGACGCCAT